GCATTTGTACACCCTTGTATCCTGCAAATGATGCCACTGAGATAAGTTTTATAATTTTATCTGCAAAATGTATTAAATTAATTATTATAATTATGATTAAGATGAGATTTCATTTAATTATTTTTTTACACTATCGGTTTGCAATTAGTACGCCTAGCAATAACCATGGAGTGATATCATGAGATTCAATAATATCACTTTAGAGTTCATAGAATGGTCTTTATTTTCAAACTTTATAATTTTTATTTCTAAACCTCCCCCCCCCAATTTGTTGATTAAAATGAGAGTTGAATTTTGTTAAATTTGGTCATGATGAACCAACCCCTTCCCTTGCCTAATAAGAGTTGAAATAGTCCAAATAGGGTAGTTTTATTATCTTTTGCATTATTTAAACACTAATATAAAATTTTAAAAAACAGAGTGTCATATTATAAACGTCTCTGCTCTCTAGTTACCATTGTAATAAGTTCTGTTTTAAAAGTGAAAGAACTATTAAACTTAAATTACAAATTCAATCAAAACCTATTTACTGTGTAAATAACTTATGATAATATAAATATATTTATTGTTACAGAATGTTTCAACAAAAGAGTTATTTAAATCTGGTACAATATTGTTATAGCTCTGATTTACCAAATTGGACAGTACATGATCAATACCAAAAAAAGAACAAGTAGCCCAATGATTGTACATATATTTTTAATAGGTAATTAATGTCCCACATGGATCTTTTGCCATCAATTTCTTTTTAACTTTGATAATACTCATATATTTTTTTTGTCTTGTAATATATGTATACATTTTTAAATTTATATTTTACTCTTCTAGGTAAAATAAATAGTAATCAATGATTCAGTGAAGACAATTTACTTAAAATGGCGAGTACATTGTGTTAGTTGTAAATTTCAATAACCAAAGCTAATTAATGGTATTCAATTTTTTTTTTGGGATATATATATCATAGTTATGCCGACGATATTGCCATCATAGGAGACAATATTGAAATAGTTAAAATNAGAATATATGAAACTCAACGGAAGAGACAGGACGTAGGAAAAAGTATGAATGTAGATGGACATATATTCCACAGGGTTCCACAATTTAAATACTTAGGTGTCCTCTTAACTCAGGACAATGAGTTAAAAGTAGATATTTCAAAAAGGATAGAACTGGCCAACAACTGTTTTTTTGGTTTGGGAACCCTGGTAAAATCTAGATCAATATCTCTAAATTTAAAAATAAAAATATATATGACATTAATACGCCCTGTCATCCTATATGGGTCAGAAACATGGGCTTCAAGAAAGATAGAGGAAATAAGATTGGACACCTTTGAAAGAAATCAACATTCTGCTTAATATGGACCTTGTCTCGACACAGGAACCAAAGAATGGAGAATTCGAACCAATGAGGGAGTATATAACTTGTTCCAAAGACCAAGTATTTCAAGGGAAATCGTAAAATGAAGACTGTTGTGGGCAGGTCATGCTTGGAGGAAAAAAGACGGTATGATAAACAAAGTAATTAAAGAGGATCCGAAAGGAAATAGACCACTAGGCAGACCACGCCTTAGATGGGAAGACTGTGTGAAGAGAGAAGTAAAAGAAATAGACCCAAGAGCAAACTGGAGAGAAATAGCTGAAAACAGAATAAGGAGGAGGGAAATTTGTTTTACGGGATGGTCTTAAAGGCCGCAAAACCCCAGGAAAAAAAAAAAATATATCACAGTTAGCAGTTATAAAACAACTATGAACATAGTTGCCAAAGAAAATACATTGGTTATTGATTTGAAACTGAGAATTTCTGAGAAAGTTGGTCAAATTTACTTTAAAATATTGTAAATAATATTAAACAAATTTAAGAAAAAATGCATAATATATGTTCATAGGTAAAATAAGTTTTATTATAATTCTGTTTATGGCTGTTTTTACTTTGGTTGTACTTTTTGTTTGTCATTTTAACCTATATGTTGTTTTTTTTTTTATCACTGGTTTCATAGATTATTTATTTTACTTTATTATTATACTAACTGAATAACTCAGATTTTAATTTCTTGATTCCAAATATTTGATATGTATTTATAAATGTTTTATTAAATAGTTAATTTACTCAGATGATGACATTTCACTATAATATGACCATATTATTATTATTATATACTGTAATAAATAATAAATAATGCTATTTTTAATTTAAGGTATAATTTCCTTTTTGAGGTAATTTTTAAAGGTTGAATTTCCTATTCTTACCATTCTTAACACTTCTAGAACTAATAAGAACAAATTGACCTTCTCAGCAAAATTGGTAATGTGGTTTTTGATTTTTTAAACCACATTATCTTTCATGTTTTTATATAATGTAAATGATAGATTATATATCAAATAAATAACAATTTTTCTAATTTAATAAATAAAATATTTCAAACCAAATTTATTTTATTATTTCATGTTCCAGTAATTTTTTCAAAGTTAATCATTTAAAATATTCCGATTGTGTTTATTGAATAAATATAACAACTTTCAAAATATATTGAATGTGTTCTTACTTATTCATATTATTATTTAAAATTAAAAAAAACTTTTTACTGTCCTATTATTTTAATAGCCCAACACCAATAATACTTTCTTTTTTTAAGTAAAACAATATTACATTATATATAAACTATTATATCTACTTCCTTTAAGTGGAGCTTGTGTTGAAACTAGAGTGTTACATATTTCAATTACAGATTTAATTGTACATAAATAGTTACATATTATAAATTATACATATACATATATAAACAAAAATAAAAATAATTATAAGACTTAAAACATAATATAATTTATTTATTGATTGTTATAATATTACTTATTGTTTTTCTAATTAAATTAAAATATTAAATAATTTTTAGGAATAATAAAAACATCAATTGAAAATCAACAACTTATTAATAAAGGTAAACATTTGATGATACAAAATCCTTGCTTAATTATAGATTTTTGAGCAAAGAAACAGTATACAGACATGTATTAATTGGATTGATATTGAAGTAAACATCTATAATAATAAAAAATAAATTTATTGATTAATAATTTTTGACATTTTTAGGATAGTAAATGGAGAGTTTGAGATGCTGGAGATAACCCCATGCGTATAGCACTTCAGTATTAATATTACTAACATTGAAGCAAACACCCAAAAATATCAATATATAAATAATATTGATATTTACATACATAAAATGATATAAAATTAAATATTAAATAAGAGCATCAAAATTAATTTTCCATACAGTAATTATTATTGCTATTTATTGAGTATTTTTTTCATATCCAATTATGTATGTATATAATTTAAATTATAAATTATCAATAGGTATCTTAATTAAAATGTGTTCATTATAAATATGCTATATAAAAAGTAATATTTATAATATGCTACAGTTGAAGTATTGAATAATGTTATTTTAAGAAATCACTAAGTTTATGAATGCTTTACAAATTTCAGTTAAAGTTTATAAACTTGTTCTTGGAAAATTATTATTAATTATTATAAAGCTCATAAAATCAAAAATTATATTTTATGCTGTGTTACTACTATAAATATTATTTATTTGTACTTGTAGTACTTACATTTACAATAATTATACAATAGGCTGATATTTCTACAATCCCACTATTTTACTAAATATGTATATTATCAAAAAATAAACTGATTTAATAATATTTAATATAGGTATCAAAATAATCTATAATCCAACTTATTTAACACTAGATGAACAATATACATATAAATTTTAACTTACTACCATTAAAATTAGTTCAATTATCATTTTGAAAAATAATAAATTCAATAAGTAATATTTCTTTAATTTGTACACAATAAATTAGCATCTATCTTAACCCTTAAGTACTTATAAATATTTTATTCTTATTTTCATTTATTTAGATTCCTTAACTTCCCTTATCCTATTATATTCTCAATCATCAATTAAAAAATTTAAAAAAACATCTGCAGTAGTATAAAAGTTTGTGTTGTATTTGTATTTGGCATACATTTTATATTGTTTGTTGAGTACTAAAAGTAAAAATATGTTTATTATGGCCCATTAATAATATAATTCATATAATATTAAAAATTGTCTATATAAATTAAGAATTACATCGATTTTAATCACTGCTATAGATAATGTTATCATAATATAACTTATTTTAATTAACTTATTTGAGTTTATTCATATTTTATTAATATTCAAAAAATGGAAAAGTACTTATTTTATCAAATAATATTCTTTAAAATTAAAAATAATATTTTTGTTTAAAATTGTTGTATTTTGATAATAATACTTGAATAATAAATATTTAAAAACAATTTCCAGATGTTTTTTTATGGTTATTTAGTACATATTTCAATGTTTATTATCATGTTTTGATGTGCTAAGTCCCAAATCCTGCTAATAAGTATTAATTTAAATTGTTTATTATAAGTGTTAAATTAAATTTCTTTATTTATATTAGCTAATACATTATTTATATTAGCTAATACATTATTTGAATAACATTAATTTGATTTTATTAATTAAAGAAAAATAAATTTTAAATTATAATTAATTATATGTTTTGAGTTAGGTATCTACAAATAACAAAATATACTTTTTGTTATCTTTATATTATTATTAACTCCAGTTATATAATTTGTTTAAATTGTATTTATTGTATTTGTTATATTTACCTACCATTCAATAATACATAAATAATATTATAATCCTAGTAATTTCAAATATTGTTGGATATAATAATAATTATATATAATAGAACCATAATATTTAAATCAATAGGTTATTGTTAAAGAATTAATAAATTAACATTATTATTATTAATATATTACCTTTAGATATTATTAATTAATTAAACAATTTTTCTAAATGATAAAATTTAAAGAAGTGTATATTATTGTAATTTAAAGAGTTTTGTTAACATAATTGGTGAATTGTTTGATAGCTGTTTTTCTAATTTATTTTACCGTTTAAGTTGTTTATTATCATTTTTTTTTAAGGAATTAGAATAATTTTCTTTTGTATACATTTCTTCTTGTAATTTTTTGGCCTGATTATTCAATTCATTGAATTTTTTTGAACTCGCTTTTTTCAATTCAATTAATGTTGTCATTAATTTATTAATTTTAATTTCATCATCATGAACTTTAGTCACCAATTCATCTAATTCCTTGCATTTCATATTTAACTCACAGGATAATGCTTCTCGTTCAAGTTTCCATTTTTCTTCAGCACATGTTGCATTTAATTTTGCATCATCTAATTTTGATTTTGTACATTTTAGACTTAATTCAAGCATTTCATTTGCCTCTTTCAGTTGATTACATTCTTTTATACAATCATCATTTTGTTTACATTTCTTACAAAGTTCCTCTTCATTAGATTTCAAATTTGCTTTCAATTTTTCAATAATACATTTTTTGTCTTCCAACTCTGCACATTCTAACTAAAAAACAATATATTTATCATGATTTTTTTTTTTTTGTAATAATTATTATAGTATATAATTGCACTATGATTCTTATATTTTATAAATTTATTTTTAAATAAAATTGTTCTGTTACAAACGTTTACTTATGATGAACTCTTTTGAATTTTTCATGTTTGTGATTATTTTCATGGCCACTACTATATAATATCAATTCATTTATCTATTTTTCTATAAAAAAGTATTTATAGTAATACATTTATATTTATTATTACATAATGACTACTAATAATTGTATTAATTTTATTAGTTAATTTGGTTTTCATAGATGTTTATATAGTTCGGTAATTTTATAAAAACAGTAGTTACCTACATGGAATTTTAATCTATGTAAAAATACTGTGACAGTAATATATAATACCTATGCCTAATACCTTTATGATTATAAAAATGTCAAATGGGGAACTAGACAATATTCTCTTTGAAGGGAAATCTAATCTGACCACTCCCAACAATGGTTACTTGTAGGTATTTGGTTAGGTAAGGTTAATCAATTTATATACATATAAAACATTATTTATGTACCTATATTACGTTTAGATCTAAATCTTTATTAGTAGGTACTTATCACAATAATAACTATTGTGATAAGTATCAAATAATATTTTATACCAGCTATTAATATGAATTATATATTTACTTTAACTTCCCATAATTCGTTTTGAATACATTTATTATTTTTCTCGGCGTTTTCTAACTTAGATTTAAGTTGTCTTTTATTTGATTTTATATTTTTTAACTCATCAGCAATGGCATCCTTAATATTTTGTAACTCGCTATACTTAACTTGCCAAGTACACTCTACAGTTGCAGCATTCTTAAGCTTATCAGCTTGATCTTCAAATGAAGTTAATAATTCAGTAAACACTTCCTTACGATTTACATCATTTTTTTCACTCCATTGCACAAAATCCTTGACTATTGTTCGTAAGTGATTCCTCTCAGTAACCACTTCATCGTGTGTTCTTAATTTATCCATTAATTGACATAATTTTTCTTTTTGACAAGATATTGTATTTTTTAAATCTTGTGTAGTTTCTTGTTGGCCTTTCTAAGTATATAAATATATCTAATGTTAATCAAGTACTATTTGTGTACAATAATTAAATAGATTTTACTTATTGTGTCGACTTACGTTTACAAATGCTTGCATTATATTAATGTATGTTACAAATATATATAGCTATTACAATATGTAAATTTGTTTTAAAATATTATTAATTATTTCAAAAAAGTATTATTTTATTTTAAAATAATTTTAAAAAAATATTTATTAGAATTAGCTTAACCTATCCCGTTGTCTTGGAGAAACATTTTTCATTTAATAACTGAAAGGGGAAGCCAGAAAACTTTTTTTTAATTTCCAATGACTAATGTTAGTTTTAAAATTATAATATCTGGAGGAGGCAAAATATATAGTTTTTTTAAATAAAATTTAAGTTTATTTATTTAGGTAGGAAGGTAGGTACTTAAAAATAATATTTAAATTAATAAGATTCTGTACTCAAGAACTAATGAAATAATAATTATGTTCAAATATTTTTTGGGGGGCTATAGGTAATCTATAGGCACATTGTATTTAATACCTATAAATTATATCATTTTATTATGAGGTAATAGGTAAATATTATATTTTAGTTTGTTTGACAGCATATAAATGTTCAAAATTTGAGATTATAAGTTGTATTCTTAGTAAACAAAATGTTCAACATTGTAACGTCACATGTTTTTTTATCTGTACTTGAAGTTCAAAAGTGAATGAAACTCTTAAAAATCACTAACAATTATAAATTGTTATAGGTAAAATTCAAAATTCAAATTCAAATTAAGCAAAAAAAAATGATTAACCGAACTCATCCTCTCAGAAGCGTTTTTTGTATGCAATATTATTTTTGTTGCATTCAGGATTTAAAAAAAATCACCTATGTCATACCTTTCCAACTTATTATCAATAACAGAGAACTATACATAACAATATCAGTTCTTTTTAACTAACTTCAAAAAAGGAGCTTATGTATTCAACGCGTATGTTTTTTTTTTATTTATGGAAACCTGAACTTCGACAAATATATATCAATTTGAATGATTTTTTTTCTAAAGTATACTTCACATATAGTTACATATAAAATTAATCAAAATTTGGTAATAGAATAAAGTTTGGTTCATTTTTCCTTTTAGCGATAATACAATAATTCAATTTCCAATTCCTAATTATCAAATTTGATCGTACTGTTTAATGAGTTTTTACAGAGTGTAAATACCTATAAGTGTCATTAATAGGCAAATTTATTAAAATGTTACATACTAAACTTCTATATAAGGCTGTGTCTGAATTTTAAGTTTTGTTAAATTTGAAAATTATCTATTATTAACATTTTAATATTAAAGTCACCACTCCACTGTCAACAGTGGAATCACTATTAGTTAGAGGTACACATTAAATATGTGCTTAATTATACGAGTAATTACTGATATATTTAACATATGTGTGAATGCGCGTGTATTAAAAACTACAAGCATAGAATGGATAAAAATTGGACAATTATTGTTCGATGTGATGCGATTCGTGCGTTCGTTAATAAAACATTATCTTCAATCAAGCTCAGAATCGATTTTTTGTTAGCGATGGTTTATTATTGCTTACAGATATACATTAAATTCATTTCTGTATCCTATACTCCCAATTTCCCACCTACAACAGTGGTTACAAACTCGTGCGACCTTCCTTTTTTTTCCATATTGTTGGTGTAACTACATTTTAGTTTAAATTTTATCTTTATCATTTTTTTGACAACTGGGTTTTACCATTGAACTATAAGAAAATTAAGATAAGTTATCTTATAATTCATTGGGTACTACCCGACGTAGTATTCACTGGTACACCCGGTGTAGGGTTAGGTTAGGTCCGTAATCACATCAAGTAGAAATCCTCCCTTAAAACGATGTTAAATAAATACAGTGGAAGAAAAACTATAGACGCACCATTAAATCTTCCATGATTCTGTTTCACAATTTTTCCCCTCGAGAATCTTAGCGTTATCATCGCAAGTCCAACCCATAACCTTAAATGATTGGTTTGTGTTTTTGCAACTAATATCCTACTACTACCTACGGTCACCTAAGTCTGTCGGTTTCATGTGAGCATACGGAACATTTTAACGTATGGTCTCTCATGTTTTTCTTTCTGTTATTACATTATTTTCCATTATTTTCAACTATTTAAATTGCAAACATGGAGTGAAATTTGCAGGCATCAATTGTGGCCAGTCACCGCTCATCATCTGACCAGAAGTTTTAGCAGTGTGTAAATACCTATAAGTGTCATTAATAGGTAAGTATTTTAAAATGTTACCTACCTACCTAGTCCTAGCGATCTTATTAAATAAGTGATTAAGAAACTATAATTTTAATTATAATTACGTTATCACTATTATAATAAAATTATTCACTGCTGACCTAAACCTGCTGTATTCTCACTTTGTACTGTGGAATCAATTTCATTTAAATATCTCTCATATTTCTCAGATATCTTCTAGCACGTCTGAACATTTTACCTTCTGTACTTAGTATCCAGTAATATCTACGCATCTTATCTCTTATTCCAACCACTCCAGTTATCCAAAAACAAAATTTACTCACCTGAAGAAATCAACTGAATTTACAGCACTATTATTTATCCTAATTATTTACTTTTCTAATAATTTTCTCTAAATCCATAGCTTTTGGTAAAAGGTTATTTTTAATTTAAATAACTTTCTGGACATCATCACTTATGATGGTGAAAATCCTATACTTTTAACTGGTGTATTTTTATAATCAAACAGACACATACAATTGATTAGGGGTTGATTTATCATTATTTTAAATATTTTTACTTTTAAAACTTAAGTTAACTTAATCTAATATAGCACTATTTTATTGGTCCCCCTTCAAAATTGTGATATGCAAAGTGTTGTGTACAATTTTGTATACTGAAAATTGGTTTCAGGTTTATATGTACAGGTAGGTAATTCATTAATATAAGTTATCACGAAGTTTCATTAACAGGATAGGAAAATATTTAATTTTTAAAAATTTTACAAATATTAGTTTTAAACATAAAAAAGACTGATATTAATATTTCCTTAATATTGTACTGTTTTCGCCATTTTTGTACATTTTTATCGGTTTTTTACACATACTGGGAAAACACTAGGGAAAATCAAAAAATGACCTGCTTAAAGTACCATCACAAGAAAATTTCTTTTCAGAAAATAGTCTACAATGTACACATCGGAGTAAGTTTTCTTGTACAAAAATGTTCACATAGAAAAAAAAAATAAGCATCTTTGTAAAACCAATATATTCTTCGCTACATTTAGAATGTAAAATTATAATATAATTTGAATTATAACTTTTTTTTAAAGTGTGTAATAACCAAAATATTAAAAATAATTTAAAAATTGAATATTTTAATGTTTTTGGAGCAAAAAATGTTAGGTTAATATTTAATATTAACACTATATATAATTTAAAAATTAATTTTTGATTTTAAAACTATTACAAATAGATAAAATAAATGTCCATGTATGAGAAAATAAAACTTCTCCAGTTCTCCTTGTATTATTTATTCATTAAATGTTTTCCTTTTTAATAAGATTTTAACTTAGAATACTTAGATTATTATTATTGTTTTATGATTATAGTTTATCAATGTGAAATTAAAATTTGATGATTTAAACTAAAATAATGTATACAAATTATTAAATATTTATTATCATGATTATAATTTTTAAATTTGGCTGAATGACAATCACCTTCCTCTCCCCCCCCCCCCCCTGAAAACATTGAAGGTTTTGAATTTTTTTGCTATAACTTTAATAACCATTCCTATGAAAAAATTCCATCAGTTTCATAATCAAAATTTAAAAAAAATTGAAATGGGCGTAAAGGACCTGGTAAAGTACATTTTAGCTAAGTTGTGTTACAAATGTCAGAATTTTCTTGATAAAACGCAAGCATTTAGTCATAGTTGATTTTTATGATTCTTTAACTATTATAGACTAAAGATAGTTTAAAACCAACTCAATTAAATTTCTATGTTGACTCTACAGTTGTTTTAAAGGTTGTGTACCTATGTACAATTTGTTTCTTATCACAGCAAGGAATTTATTGGTTCTACACTGGTGTTATTTTTTTTTTTGTGAACAATTTTTCTAACAGCAATTTTGCTCTGATTTACAACACTTTCTGAAAGAAAATCTGATTGGGCTGGTACTTTAGGGAAGTAATTTTTTGATTTTCTAAGGAGTTCTCCCAATAAATGGAAAAACATTGAAAAACTGGGAAAAATCATTTTAAAATCGGGGGAAAAAAGTTAAAACTGGTACAATATTAAATAAATATTATTAAAGAAAATATTATATAATGCTAATATGTAATTATTTGACCAAAATACAGTGGAGGATGAATCTTATTTCTGATGGGGGGGGGGGCGATTTTAAAATCCACAGAGGTTATGAAGTTTATTCTCTCCAGTGATTATTTCAAATATTTCAGACCTACGTCCTCCGAGGGGGGGTATCGATAATTTACAAAATTTCTTATATACCTAGATATATAATCTTAAGTACCTATCTATTAAGTTTTAGATTATAATATAAAATAATATGCTTGGAGTTACTCTGTAACCCGTTGTTCATAGTCGCGGCTATGTACATTATTCTGTTACGACAATTTCTTAAATATCCTGAAATTAATTTATCTAGGTTGGCTGATGCAATTTTATGTTGAAATTATACATTTTTCTTAACGTTTATATTTCGATTCAATACATACGCGATGCTGTGTTTCCACTACGCTGTGTTTCCACGCTCTTGATGTTATACAGCTATTTATAATATTGTATAATATTATCTATAGCCGTAAGTAATTATAAATTGAACTATAAGATAACTGGAACGCTCACTGCCCATATGACTAATGTAAATAAAAACCAGATAGATAGAAAAATGGCAATAATGTATCTGAAGTAAAAATTACTGATAATTAAGTTGAGCCACATGTTCTTTTACTAAATAATGGTGAACTAAATTCTCTACATAATACATAGTATTAAAAAAAGTCTAAATTATGTAAAAATTATTTAAATTTTATTGAACCTAATTCAAGTATTGATTATGAGTTTACAAAATTATCTAAATTAAAACTCTTTAAAAAAGGTTGTTTATTCTTTTGTAATAAAAATACATTTGATTTCTTTTTAAAAATGGAAAGATCTTTCTAGAAGTTTTTTCTCATATCAAAGACCAACATTGTTAAGTTTATACAGCAAATGAATAAAATTTAATTTTTTATTCCAGAATATCATAATCATAGAAAGTTTATTATAAACAGATTTGTGATTTTTAGACCAAAAATTTTAGGAAAAACAAGGGATTACAAAGGATTTTGTAGTGTGTACTGTGTGTTCGCCGTTATGCGGACGAGAGGATATATTTGTTTTTTAAACATAGTTTTTCTATAGTATACTGATAAAATAATGTTTAAATGCCACATATTGTATAGGTAACGTTGTCGATACAATATTTTAGCCTTTACTAGTCGGTGGCCTACGTGTATAAATATGTATAAATAAAATTATACATTAGCGTCGTATGTTAAACAGAGATAGATATACCTAAAGTATTTGCCATCTCTTTTAACATGCTCACTTGAGCAACACTGCGTGGTGAGCGTTCCAGTTATTATATAGTTTAACTGTGTAATATTACTCAATGAGATAACCGTATGATACTTTGATCAAGGAAAACAGTTTTTATGAACCGCTCCGCATGTAAGCAACCAGCCCGATTCAACTGCCCGATCGCAACCGCTTTTAGTTGAACTGCTCCCGGCTCCATATGTAAGCAGCTTAACAGTGGCCAACCACGTGTGAATTATGTCACTTGTTTTTTTATTAAATTTTCTTCCATCCCAAAATTCAGAAATTAACTGTTTTATAATTAAATAATAATTCATGTTTTAATTTACGTATAATGTTCATCTGATTGATTGTGATTTATATTGTATTATAGGCTAACTAATGTCTGATATAAAACTGAATATTTCAAAAATGGATCCACAGACTGAGGTAAGTTATTAATAATATTCAAAATATGTATAATAGATGTCTATTAGATTAAGACTTTTTTCTTAAAACTATATGTGCAGCCTGTAATTTGTAAAACTAAGATATACTAATTTAAATTTTTACAGCAGCACTTAGTGTTCCAGAATATTGATTTAGTTACATAAAAATACAATTTTTGAATTCTAAAATCTAGATATATATCTAGGAATTCTTAATGTAATAAACTGTAATTATGAATACAAAACAAAGGTATAGGTACGGTTTAATATTATCTGATGTGATTTATAAATGATACCACCAAGGTGTATTTATCAGGTGTCAACACTTTGCATATCAGTTGAACAAAATATGAACATCAATTAAAAAATAACACCGGTGTGACAGATGATTTGTACAACACATGTATTTTTACTTCAGTGACTATGAATCGCTATAAGTAGGTAATAATATTATGTATGACCGAAGGGTAGAATGTAACCTTGTGTATAATAATTTTAATGTTATAAAACTAAGTCAAATACGCCACTGATACTATTGATACTTGCACAAATTGGAAATCTGAAGTACCGAAATACCGAATTTTATAATTTTAAAATTTTATTTTTAGACAATTGAATAAGCAGGATCACCTGTGGTCTTTTCTGTGTAAATATCCATTTTATACATATGTATAAGCTCATATTCATAACAAATTTATAGATAATGGTTCTGTTTATTGCCATATTTAAAATAGCAATATTAACTTTTTATCATATTCATTTAAAATGGTCAGTGTTAATGTGCGGTTACAAGAAGTTACATGTATCTATCTACAGGGAAAATCATTTCCTAATTTTGACGATTCATACTCACTAAAGGTAATATTATATTATGTGAGGTATTAATTGCCTGAGATTTTTCCTACAGGCTATTTATATCTACCGAGGTAATACCAAGGTGGGTATTAAAATTCTGTGACATTGGAGCTTTGATTACCTCTAGAGCAGTGGTTCTCAAACTTTTATGACCATGGCATCTTTAGGAAAAAGTTTATGTTTCGTAGAACCCTAATGTCTCTAACTCAAACTGAACCCTAATTTTTCAATCATTTATAGAACAATTAATACTAGAAAAAATGATTGAACAATATTGTTCATGATTATAGTTAATTACAATTAGTTTATAAAAAAAAAATTTTTAATCAAAATTTTACTTATTAAAATAACAAGTATTCATTATTTAATTATGAAAAAAAATTTATTTTTAACAAAATATAATTAATTAAATTTTATAATATATGTTTACTTTTAAATTTTTTAATGTGATGAATGAAATTGTTTTATGGTTTGATTTATAATAGTTTTAAAATTGGTCTTATATATCTGAAAGTTGAATTTGTAGTCTAGAGCAGCAAACAATCTATGTCTGTTCTTATTTTTAGTATAAGCATAAGAGGAATAACCACCCTAACAATGGTATGTTGTACAAAACGTACTTAGAGTTAGAATAGCTATTTCAGCTAGAGATGGGTATTGTTATTGAGTCCAATCCAAAATTTGTTCGAAGATCCGGATTCAAGGATGGTTTAAGGATGACATCTATTAATTTCAAATTCACATATATCTGGCAGAACCCTTGAGATTGTTCCATGGTACACACTTTGAGAACCGCTGCTGTAGAGGGCTCAAATTACTGTCTCAAATACACAATATTGGATATAGTTATAATGTAATTTAAAATTATAATAGTAATTTTTAACAGATTGAACCAACATTTTAAACCGAAATTACATCTCTAAATGTAGAATTTATTATTATTGTGAAGATTATAAATATAATAAACAAAACATTATTTTTTTCTGTATGAAAGTTTTATTTAGCTTAATACATATTTTTAAATATATTGAATATAGGTACTTTGCTATTCATACAATAGTAATAAGTAGTAATTATATATCTATTCAATAATAACTAGTGCATAGGATATAATTTATTGTCTATGATAATTGGGAACTAAATATACCTGGTTATGATTTAAATATTTATTTCTTTTGACTGATAGAATTTAATTAGGTACCCAAGTTCCTAATAGACCAATAAAATAATTACTTGGTATAAAAAAATACATTGTTTAATTAGGTACACATTTTGAGTGGTTTCAAATGTGTTGGTATTACAATGATGTTTATTTTAATTTTTTTTATCTGTGATCAACTTGTTCACCAGAAATCTTGCTCAGATTTACAATGATAATACTTTTTCCAAAAGGAAATCTAACTGGCAAAGTACTTCAGGGAGATCATTTTTTGATTTTCCCAATAAATGGGAAAAAATGAAAATTAGGTACATTATTAAACAAATATCATTAAAAAGAATATGTATCTAATTATTTTACCATAATATGACATTTATATTATAATAAAGCAACACTGTTAACTGAACTCTGCTTAGAATCAATTTTCATTAGTAATGGTTAATCATTGCTTACAGGTATATATTAAATGGCTGCACTCATCCCCATTATCCTAGGACAGCTTTCTTATTACTATATTAATGTTACTTATTATACTAATAAATAGACTACCAACTAAAGTATTAATTACTTTTTGTAGTAATACATCTACTTAACCTTATTTCTGGATTACAGTTACCAGGTGGTCCATTTAAGTGGGTACATTCATTATCTCAGAAGGTATTAACTTTCTTCGGAATTTATTTTCTAGAAAATTTAAGAAATAAGCTGCTCTACAATTTTATATTTATGTTATTTTTGGGGTAAAACTCTACTACCCATTTTTGATTTTTAAATAGCAACCTATATGAAAAATTCCATAAATAGATGGAGTATTAGTTAAAATAAATTTTAATGATGAAATTTTTGATTTCTATCTAGCTGTACATCCAAATGATACTTCACTAATCTCCTCCAACCCAAACTTAAAAGTGGAATACCTCCTCAAAAGCTTGATAGAAATCAAAAATGTCAACATTAAAATTTATTTCAACTAATACTCTAATACTAATAGAATGTTTAATACAGGTACCATTTGAAAATCAAAAGTATATAGTGGTTTTACCCAAAACATAGGGGTGACAAAAAATAACATAATTGTAAAATTGTAGAGCTGCTTATTTCTTAAATGTTCTATAAAATAATTCTTAAAATAGTTAATACTTTCCGAGATACTGAGTGTATCTGCTTTAATGGATCACCTAGTATATTTGCTTTTATATTTATTACATTATCATTATACAGTATGCATGCATGTATTATAATTAAGATTAAATTTAAAATTATTACTTTTTGAACACAGTAGAAGGTGCATATTAAAACAATTATATATTAAAATCAATCGTTTATTATAAATAATTGATTAATTGACACATTCACCTTAGTCCCAAAGTGTTTCTAATAAGCACCTTCTACTGTATTTTCTTCTAAGATAGAATCAAAATTGATCTTTAAATTATATTATTTCAAAGGAAGTTACTGATACTATCGTTTGTCAAGATCTGTTATTAGGAAAAGGTAGAGTAGTGAACAAGATTCTGTATCTACCAAGTGCAAGTAAAAAAATTAATTTAATTAAAATGATGATTAAAAAAATGGGGTATTCTTTAAATAAGTATGTATACAAATATATTTTGAATTTTTAAACTTTATCAAAGCAATATTTTATTTTTTATTTTTGTAACTATTTTTAGATCATTAGGAAGTGAAAGGAAGTGGACATTTTACATTGTTGAAACTGAATCTCTTATCAATAAACATATAAAAGATCTAAGAAACCATTTGCCATGGAATATAGGCATATTTCTTAGTTCTATAAATGTTTTTTTGTATTCTCAAGAGCAATGGAAGCAAATATTGAATAAATGTCATGTAAGTATTATATTAAAATGTATTATTAATAACAATTTGTAAAACTCCAGAAGAAAAGGATAATATTTTAACCAGGGTTTTTTCGGATTTATAAAATTTATATACTTTTGCTATTTATTGTTAATTATATTGGTTTGCAAATCTGAAATTTGATGTGTATATATTTACATATTAGCGTAGATTTTGCAATATAATGATTGTATTTTTACAATCTAAGTACCTTTCACATTGTTGATTATTGATTGTACAAATTGTATTTTGGTACTAAAATAAATTTGAGGGTTATAATTAAAGTCCGGATTTTGCATGAAATGCATGTTGCTATTTTCAACATCATATACATGCAGTTAATAAGTGTCTAAAAATCATTACCTAACTAATTAAATATCAAAATTGTATGCTGCATATTTTTGCATATTCTGACATAAGTGCATATTCTGCATATTCTTGCATATTTTAACAAAAATTCATGTCGAACAAATACAAAAAGATATAGATAGGTTAATATATCAAATATTTTTCGTTACAAAGAATATTAAAATAGGTTAACTAAACTTACATAGTGGAAATTTTCATTACATTTTCCATGTATCATTAAAAGCATCAAAGAGCTTAAAAATTCTAATTTGGCACTTGTAGACTCGTTAAACATTTTAAAACAAGTAGAAAATTCTATCAATGAACTTCCTACGAGCATAAATAGTACAATAATTAAAACAAAATTTAAAAATGTTTTCGATAAAAATAAAGGACTAATGGNAAATTATTCACCGGATGTATTAGCCAATTTTAAATATGCATCAATAACCAGTGTTGATGTTGAATGCAGTTTTTCATCTTACAAGTACATCCTTACAGATTGTGGTCATAATTTTATAGAAATAAACATGGAACACATTTTAATAACTTATTGTTTTTCCAATTAACATGCCTACTACATTAAATTTGTCATTCTTTTTCCCCATTATATACCAATATGTACTATTTACTTATTTACTTTTTTGTTTACAGAAATTTTAATTAAATTAATAATTAATTATCACTGTAAAATTTAAATAAAATACAAAATTTTAAACTTTATTATGCATGTTTTGCTTTTTTTTTTTGAATATCTTGTCATTTTTTAGTACATTTTTAAAATGCATACAAATCCGGTCTTTAATTATAATGAATATACATAATATATATATATATTTAAATCTTAATTCCCTGATTTGTTCTATTATTTTTCTAATATATTTTAATAAGATAAAATGTTTGAATAAATATAAAGTGTATACCTCCTTTTAATAAGTTATTTTATATTGAATGATTTGTTTAATTTTTATTTATTACTTTTAGATTGTGGTTATGTCTGCTTCCATGTACTTGTCTAATTTACAAACTAGCGTCATAAACATAAATGATGCAAATCTTATTATTTTTGATGAATGTCACAATGCTTTGTCATCACATCCACTTAATCAAGTTGGTTTATTTTTAATTTTATTAACTAATAAGCATTCACATACACAAAAACACCAAATTGTTGAAACATTTATTAAAATTGCACAATTACATAATTTTAGATAAATTAAACTTGAAATTCAGTCAATTTATCTATTCTTTAATAATTACAAATTTAAAATATTCAACTTCATGTCCAAAACTAGGGATTTAATTTAGCGAAATTACTTGATTTCATAAAAATATAATAAATTATTATAGTTTTTAAGTAAACTAATTAATGTTATTGAATTATAGGATTTTAGATTATTCCTATATAATACTGAAAATAGTAAAAAAAAAAAATTAAAAATTAAATATTATTTTTAAGCCTAGTAAAGAAAAAGATGAATATATTGTTATCTTTTAAACAGATTACCAAGCCTTCTCATTACTCTACCCCTTTTCTATTATTGGATCCTCCCATTTTCTTATATCAGTCTTCTATATTGTCTGTCATATTTTTACAGGTCTTTTACTTATGACTTAAATCGAATATTTGTTTTAATTTTTTTTCCATTTATCCTCAATACATGACCAAATCATTCTAACTTTTAACCTTTTACAAATGTTTTATAAGAGGATATTGGATTTCCTATCTAATATATTTTAAACGAAAAAACGATTTGTCCTGTTATTTTTCTTTGTGGTGAAGTTTAGTATGGTTACCTTTTATGGTTGAGTAGGTATTTCATAAGTTGTGTCAGGTAACTCCTGTATAATTTCAGTTAAATTTCTTGATTAGAGTAAAAATCGGTTTTGAGCTGATCTCAATGAGTGTTTTATATGGGAATTGATACAAATTGTTAAAATATAGAGCTTATTAATTAATTTGTATTGTTAAACATAGTTAAAAAGATAATTGATGTATACATAAATATGTATTTATTATTAATATTCACTATATAAGGTGATCAATCTATCATGAGACTCTTATTATCTCAGAAAGTATTAACTTTTTTTTCGGAAATTCGTTTTAAAGAACATTTAAGAAACAAGCAGCTCTACAATTTTATAATTATGTTATTTTTTGTCATCCCTATTTCTTAAGTAAAACAAACCACTTTCTACTTTTTATTTTAAAATGGTAACCTATGTTAAAAATTCAATAAATAGATAGAATGTTTGTTAAAATAAATATTGGTATTGAATTTCTGTCAATTATTTGAGGAGATATTCTACTGTTTAGTTTGGGTTGGGTTAGAGTGGTAGAGCATCATTCATAATGCATGATACATTTTAATAATGCATTTCTACTAGTATTTTAAAATATTTTGGGCTTCCACTAGAGTTAAAAATTGATTCATTCAATAGTAACTATAAAAAAGGTTTAAAAAGATTTTTACTTTTTATTGACAGAAATATAATTTATTTTGAAGTGTTTAACAATAAAATATTGTTTATTATTATTATTTTTTTTTACATAAAATATTCAGATAATGAAGATGTTCCATGATAATGATTTTAAACAAAGTAAGAGCCCTTTTATACTAGGCATTACTTCTACTTTAATTAATACTAATGTTAATGATGTCAAAGAACACCTTAATGAACTACAAAACACCTTTAATGCTACTATACAGACTAGTTATAAAGGAAAAATGTCTATGTAAGATTTAATTATTTGTATAATATAGAATATAATATGGTAATCAACAATATTAACAGTTTTTCAGCATACCAAAAGGAATTTATAAGATTTTATGATAAGTTTATTCCAGATGCAAATTTGTCTTGTATTATTAACTGTATAACCAAACATAATAACGAATTTAAGCTATTTTGGAAATTACAAATGGAGCAAGCAACACAAGAAAATATCAATTTGGAAAGTTATTTTCTTGACATAAGAAATGTAAGAATAATTAGTTACATTTTTAAGAAATAAAAAAAATCTAGCCATTTTATTATTTTAGGAAATCTTTGATGGTGGTGCATATACTGCATTTATATTATCTTGGATTTACACGATGGAAATCGAAAAACATAAAGTAATGTTTTCAAATAACACAAACATATTGTTCTTATTGCATCTAGTCTTATCAGAAATTAATTTAATTCGAAAAAGCTTATTTACAAGCATGCAAGAAAATTCTACAAAAAATAAATGGAATGGTGTTTGCAATAATATTTCTCCAAAGTTAAAAAAATTATTGGAAATTTTATTAAATATGAACCACACTGATATCTGTTTAGTATTAGTTAATCATCAAACAACTGCACAAATTCTATATCATTATATTACTGTATGTACCTTTTTGTAGTAGATGTATCAAAATACCTATTTATAAATTAATTTTTCAACAGGATTATAATAAAGAAAATGGTAATACAAATATTATTTGTAATTATACCTCAGGAGCAAGAGATTTGTATAACCTTAGTCATAATGAAGTGATATTTAAAAATATGCATGATAATGATATTCTTAAAAAGTATTTAGTATTTTATTAATTGTGTATAACATACAGTGTCCCAAGAAGAATACATATTGTATTATCTCTGGACATAATAATGATTATCTCATTTTGTTTTTGATTTTATATTTCACCAATAAGGAATACAAATATTTTTACTGCAATTATTTTTTTATGTTTTGGTAAAACATTTAAAAAAATAAGTTTTTGTATTATTTTTGAAAAATTTGAAGATGGCCATTTTATAGAGTTTATTCTTCTGAACATTTTGAGGTATTAATTTTTTTTTTATTATTCAGAGGAAAATATACCTATGATTATACATCAGACTATTATTATAACTAATTGACTGTACACTTCTTTTCTCTGAAATGGCTATTTTCATTTTTTTTTTTTTTTTTTTAAATATTAAAATTAAAAATTACTTTTTGAACAAAACATAAAAAAAAAAATTGGAACATAAATATTTATAGTCCTTGTCCCTGTATTTAAAAAAAAAAAAAAAAAAAACAATTTGATTAACTCTGCAGATATTGCAAAATCTTTGTGGGACACCATGTTTTTATATATTAATATTATGATTTATATTAACTAAATAAATATGTATTTTTAGTTTTAATGAAAGGCGAATTAATGTTTTGATAACATCAGATTTACTTGAACATGAGATAAACATTCATTGCAATTATGTCATAAGATATGATACCCCAAACAATTTTCAAACTTATATGCTATCTAAATACATTGCACGCAGTAATGGGAGTGAATTAATGATTTTAACACTGGATCAGTCTGATTTTGATCAAAAACTTACTGAATACATTAAAATGGAACAAGAAATTGATGAAGTATATATATAAATTTATTTTATTTATTCATAAGAGTTAACCCCCTCCCTCCCCATAAAAACATATGCATTTATTTGTTAATTTGTTGTTTAATTTAGTTTCTTAGATTATTTTGCATTCTATTGTTTATGTTTTGAATATATTGTAAAAATCTAACTATAATCATGAACTTCTTATAACATTTTGGTTTAAAATATCAATATTTTTATAAAACTAACTAAACTTTCTTTTACACATTATTATATTTTATAATAATATAAATAACATTCACCAAATGTTATCCTTATACAATAGAAAATGAGGATCCTCGGTTTTTTAAATATTTAAAACAATAACAATATACTATTATGAGTAACAAAAATTAAATCTAAATTACAGCTGAATTAAATAGAAATTTGTTAAAATTTGTGTTTAAAATATTTTTTATATAATTTTAATATTTATGTTATTTTATTGTTAACTATTGTTTAAGTATAAATTGGTGCATATAGTAGTGGTGGTGGTGATTCCAAGGGAGGGACTATGGTTGTATTGTAAATATTAAGTTATATGTAGAATATTTATATCATATTTCAACCAATTAATTCTTTTAAAGAGAGAATTTAGGATTTAGAATTTAATATTACAAATTTAGGTATAGAATATGAACTACCTATTGAATAAGGAGTTGGTGTTTGGTAATGTTTGTAAATTTAGTGTGTTGTACTAGAAAAATATATTTTGTGCTCCACTATTCTTCATAATGTAATCTATAAGAAATATACAATAGGTATTTTTGTTAATTGGTTTTTTGTTTGTTTTAGATACTGGTATTTAATAAAATTAAAGATGACAACCATGAAGAAAACATAAATGAATTTTTTATGACAACAAAGTTAAAACTAACACACAAAAATGCAATTGATATTATTGAGAGGTACCTATTATTAATAAAGTACCTACTTTATTAATATTGATTCTTTAGTTTACATATTTATTTAAATATACAGAAGTTTCATAAAATGGGGTTTTGCAATCATTTATTTATTTAGTGGCAAAACAAATAGGTTTTTTGAAAATATTTATATTTTTAATTTAACTCTTTTGGTTCAAATATAATACACAAATAAATTAAACATTTTAAATTGCTACTTCTATATTTTACATAAGATTTAGATAAGCATATATTTTTTAAAAAATTTGTTTGTATTGTATAATATAATTTTAATCCTAAATTATAAAAAATGAATCATTTATTATTTGATTATACACAATATCACAAATTTTTTTTATATGAAAAGTGTCTTAACTAAAGTAGAAAATATATTAATTTTAACTTTTTAGAATAATAAATACTATGTTACCCAAACTCCAAATTACAGATCAGATTCTTCATTCATATAATGAAAACTCACAATGATATTCAATTCTACTAATTTCTGTAAACACCCAGATAAACCCTATATATATTGTATAGGGAATAACAGCTGTGTTATTGCAGGATAACATCAGTTTTTCCATGGATTAGTAGAATTTAAAATAGGTGTTAGTTAAAAATTGTTAATCCCATATAAATTTGTGATACATTAAAATTTTCAGAAAAACAAATTCTATGGAATGGATTATCTTAAAATATTCAGAAAATTATAAAATAAAAAGTTTTAAATTGAATACAAATATAAATATTTTTAGTCCTCATCCCTGTGAATAATATAAAAAAAGACAGAATTTGATTGTCTTTATTATGTCTCCAGAGATTATATTCTTAGTGGGACAGTTTGTATTTTAAAAAATGTCAATTTTATTTAATGAATAAAAAAAAAAAAAATGTTATCTGTGTATTTAAATATAATATGAAAAGTGAAGGTCTGGGGAAACCTTGCAAGACCTTTATTAAGTCAGTACTCTAAAATTTCAATTTCTATATGAGTGAACTTCGACTTTGGCCTTTTTGATTGTATCTATCACACTAAGATACTTCTTATGCACTTATCCTTTGACAGGTTGAGTAACCATTTTGTCCACAAATTTCCTTCCTACCAAATTAAAATTAATTAAAAACTTGCAAAATTAAAATATCTATAAATAAATCAAAAATGACCTAAATGTTTTGAAAATTTTATCATGTCTAGAAAGGCAAATATTCGTTTTCTATCAGTCAAAATTTCAAGTTAATTAATATTTTTAACTGAATCAAATTTAAAGTAATAAAGAATTATTTTCGTATATTTTCCCCCTTTTTTTTCTTTGTATTTTTGGTTGTTAATTTATTAAAAAAAAAAAAATCAAAACAACTTTCTTGATCATTGACTAGATTATAAATTAAATAAAAAAGATTTCTTGCAGTTTTTCTTTTGGAACATTATTTTTAGTAAAAAACTGAATGCATACAAATTTAAAATAGTTAAATTGTTATACCATAATTGAAAAAAAAAAAAATTTTATTTTAGTTTTTTTTTTTTGTTATTCCCAATTATTTTGACAATTACTTTAGAAAACAAAAACTAATTTTTTTGGCTATGTGTAAAGGAACAAAATCAATCTTATAGTTTTTTTTTTAATGTAATAACATTTCTGGTAAAAAATATTAGTTGTAAAAATTAAAAGCAATAAAAAACCGTAAGGCTGTGGAACACAGTAAATGTTTGCCATTTTCCTATAATTTCTGAATTATTATAAAACACCTTAAAAAATCAAACAATGACCTTCTCAATACACTAAATATGTAAAATTTATTTTCAGAAAGTGCTACACTCTTAAAAAACTAAGGTGATATAAATAGGAGTAAGTTTTCTGGTAGAAAAGTAGTTCAGAGCTACAAACTGTATAAAAAAAAAAAAATCACTTGACCAATTAATAAAACCAATTGATACCTTGCTACAGTCCATACTAAAACTACTCTTATTTAAAATTCATGAAAAACAAGCTTTTTAACTATATGAAGGACACATATATAAATATATAAATTAGAAAAATTAGTAAATAAAAAAAAATTTTCTTTTATGAAGGAATAAACAAAATTAATTTCATTTTTGGAGGAGAGCATAGTTTTTATAATTAATGTATTTTTAATAATATTCACACAAAGTAAATCAATCAAAAAGGAACATCAAGGATAATTTATCCTCAATGTATTACTTTTTTTTTTAAGTAAACCTTACTACATCAGAAACAGAAATTTTCTGAAAAAACTTACATGGTTATATTAAATCTCTTTAAGATAAAACTTCTAAAATTATCAGATCTACATAAAACAGTTTTTTTTTTTTGTATATTTTGTCAGTTTTATTTTGCTCTAGGTTGCTAGTTTCTAAATATTGTCCTGTTTTTAAGGTATTTTCCACCTATTTTAATCTAATTTTATTTATTTTAATTATTTTTGTTTTTAGGTATTGTAATTCTTTATCTGAAACGCATTTAACAGAAATAACACCAATGTGGCATAAAAAATGTAAAAATAATTTAATAAAATATGAACTGACACTACCATGCAACAATATCATTAAATGCCCTATTGAAGTCAGAAATTATATAATTTTCAAAAATTAATTTTTATAATTAACTATTTTTTATTTTTAGGGATCATTTTACAGGGATCAGAACAATGCTAAAAATAGTTCCGCATTTAATGCATGTATCATGTTGTATAGAGCTGGTGATATAGATGATTATTTTTCACTTGTAGAAAAATATTATTTCACAAGTCAATACTGGTTTCCGTGTATGAGTGAAGATGAATGTCAATTGTCTGTTTATGGATACAATTTAAATAAATCAACTAAGCAAAAAGTTGCAATTGCAGTAAGTGCTGCATTTTATTATGCATAATAATAATATACTATGACTTCATGAAAGGATATTTAATTTAGAAACCATCATACTTAAATGGAGCATATCCACAAGTAGGAAATACATCATATCTACATATTATTCATTGCATTTCAAAAAACAGTAAACTGATGGATTCTAGTTATGAACCAATTGACAAACTACTCAAGTCAAATAAAGAGTTTGGAATTTTAACATCAAACAAATTACCACTTGTAAGACCATTATCATAAGTAATATAAATTGTGTTATCATTATAATTATATTGAGTGAGTGTGAATAATGATATTATATCTAAAACTATTTTACCTATTAAAAAATATTTAGATGCCTTCTGTATAAAATATAGATTTATTAATAAATTTAATAGTTCAAATTCTAAACCCTTAGGTGTTTGGTTTAGTAGAAGAACTTTTTTACTAGCAATTTTGCTCAGATTTAAAATGATTTCAATTTTCCCAGTAAATGTTAAAAAAACAGGGAAGAAACATGGGAAAAATAGGAAAATTGGTACAATATTAAACAAATATTACTAAAGAAAATATACAGTATCTATGCAATTATTTTACCATAATATGACATATATTGTTGACAATGTAATATTATTAACTGAACTCTGCTTAGAATCGTTTTTTGTTAGCAATGGTTTATCTTTAAATATGCATTAAATTTCACCTCTACTACCTTTCCAAACAGTGGCCTACCCATGTTGCCTGGTTTCTCATTAAACTAACATTGAATTTAAAGTTGATAAATTAAAATAAAATAAAACCAAATAAAAATAATGAAATAATAGTCAGCGAAAATAGAAAAAAAATTATAGATTTCTATCAGAAATATTACTGTAATTAAAAAATGGCAACTGAACTTTTGTTCCATTTGTTATTTTCAATACATATGTTTTTTAATAATTTGAATGCCTCTGGCTACAATTAATTTCAATAGTTTATTATTGGTTACAGATATAAATTTAATAATTTTATGTATCTCACCTTCTCAACTACCCATCTACAGCAGTGACTGTATCTGTTTCCATTATCAAATGTATCATTTTGATTTACTTTTATATAGAAAAATATTAAGTTAACAATTCAGCAAAAATATTATTATATTTTATTCCGGTTTGTAATGAAAAAATGGAGTTAAGATTTGACCCATCACTGAGAAATATATTTTGTACATATTTCTTTATACTTATAAATTATTGATTGTAATAAATTAACTTAAAATCAATAATGATACATATTTTAATTAATTTGAGATTTGACTGAATAATTATATTTTTATAGGTTGCCAATTTCCCTTTGTTTACACAATTTGGAGAAATTTGTGTGCACATAAAAGTAAATGTTAAAATTATTGATCTTAATGATATAGATCTTAAAAGACTAGATGTATTCCATAGTAAAGTATTTTTGGATGTATTGGGTATAAGAGATTTTATTGCTAGAGATTATCGCAATGAAGAAAATTCATATTTGATAGTGCCTATTTATTGTACAGGTATGATATATTTATATAAGCATAGATAAGTTTTCTTTTTTTTTCAATTCTTAATTTTTTTTAGATGACACTTATAATGTGGATTGGAGTGTTGTTGATATAGATACATTTGTAGAAACAAATGCACCTACTATGAAACAAAGAGAATCTAATTCTTTTAAAGAATATATTAATACATCTGTTATTGTTTCACCTTGGTATAGAAGTGTTTCACCAATTGAAGTAAATAAATGGATTTTAATGATGTTTTAATAATTTTTAAACTCCTTTAAAAAAATTAATGAAGAACAATTGATTATTTTAATTTTAATTAGTCATTTTAAATAGAAACTTATTGAATTATCTAATAAACATTTTTTTTTTTTTTGCAAAATTACTGGAAACCCTGTGATATTTGTTACTGATAAATATTTTATTATACTTTCAGATAATATATAGGTAATAATATCAATTTTATTATTCATTTTTTTTTTCTGTTTTCATGTTTTATTTTTTAACAACTATAATTTTTTACTTAAATACTTATGTATTTCAATTTCTTGGATCAATAAAATTATGAATGAGTATTTAACAATTCATGTAAATAAGATGTCCCCTATTAAAGAGACAAATATGGTGGAAAGATATAAATCAATTTTATTGAGTATGGGAAACAAGATTTAGGGTAGAAAATTGTATTTGTGTAGTAGGTAGGTATTTTCCTATGTAAGTTGAACTAATCAAAGGAGAGATTAGACTACATTTAATTTTTGAAATATGTTTCTATATACAAATATGAGCATAGATCTCATAGAGATCTGACAAATACAATAACTTTTTCTGTTCAATTTCTTGGAATAATTATTAATCTTGGGATGTTCATATAATATATATAAATCTGTTTTGAAACTAAATTTATGGTGTTTTAAATATCTATTAATGAGGATTCGATAGTTATTCACAATTTTTGGAAGTTAACTAATAATGTTAAATAACACTGAATGATTCACCATTTTTTTCAAAACATAATTATTAAATGGTTACCTTGAATTTTGTAAAACAATTTTATTTAAGTTTAAATTTTTAGTTTTTAAATAAATTAACAATAAAGAAATCATAGTGCATGTCTAATTTTTACAAGAAATTCATAAAAAATTGAACAGAACAAAAGTTAAATCTTTAAATTATACTGTATATTTATTTAAAAAACAAATATTTTAATGCTTAGAAATATTTAGTCACCGAAGTTGTTTCTGATGTTACACCTGAAAGCATTTTTCCAACTCCTGAGCTTGTTACTTATGAATCATATTATGCTGAAAAATATAACATTACTATAGTTAATAAAAACCAACCATTGATAAATGTAAAACCATTGAATGTTTCAACAATAAATTATTTAGTTCCAAAGTAATTTTATATAATTTTATTTTATATATTTTATATAAATTTTATATAAGTAATTTTATATATATTTAATTAAACTAAATAATTAAATTATTTATTATTTTATTTATTATTAGATCTGTTTCTAAAAGACAAAAAAAAAAATTCAAGGAAATGCTTATTCCAGAATTATGTATATGGCATAAATTTCCATCAGTTTATTGGCTTAAAGCATTGATGCTACCAACTGTATTATATCGATTGGAAAGTTTATTAACTACTCTTGATTTAATTATGACAATTGAATCTAAGTGTAATATCAATGTACCATTTGTTCCATATGAACCAATTTGTAAGTTAAATCTATTAGTTTGCTTATAGCATGCATTAGTATTAAATATTAATTTGTATACATACCGCCCAATATTTTATTACTTATTATCTATATTAGGTAACTTTGATGTAGTGAAGATGGATCAATTTTGTAGTTTTAATGAGCCCAAAACTAAAGAAATTATTTTACCAATTTGTAAAACATTAAAATACATAGAAAATTCTTATGAAGATTTGATTTATAAATGCAGTTCAAATAATTGGTGTATTGACACTGATAGACAGAAAACTGCAACAATATTAGATGTTATGAATTATCATAAATTTATTAATAATCTGCATGATTATGATTGTAATATAAATAATCGTACAATTGAAGTAAGTAAACATAATACTTAAACTATTAATGTACTTTGGTATCTAGTAGTGATTTGATACTTTTTAAAACCATTTTATATTTTAATAAAATTTTAAATATTTAATTTGCTATTTACATACTAAAATACCTTACTTTAAATTGGAAAAAATAGTGTGGTGTTTTTCTTTACCTTATAATTTTCAAGTAAAATCATATAGTCTTCAGTTCTTTCCATTTATTTTATTAAAACAAATTAATTCTTAGAACTAATATGTAATTGTTCTTTCTAAATCAAATGGATGATCTTAATTAAAAATTATAGGAATGTACAAGTTATATTTAAATTGATTTCCTATTCATAAATGATATATTGTCTTGTAGAAATTATATAATTTAACAATATATATTAGATAATAAAAATGAAAACAAAAGTAAATAATGTTAGTTAATAATTAACAAATGTGATTAGTTGATATGACCACAGATTAAAATATCGTGAAAAATCATCATTTATTCATATCATTTTTCTAACAGTAATAAATTTAACCCACTCCACATATCAAAATTAAATTAAACCGAGTTAAAATTTGTTGAAAAATGTTAAATTTTAATTTATTAACAATTTATTTTGCTTGAGAAGAGAAAAATAATTGCTATATTAATATAATATATTGGCTTTGATTTTAATATAATAAAGATTGTGGTAAATTTCCTGATATAACCAGTTAATATAGTAATTAGTTTGAGTCCATGATTTATATATTTTCATTCATACATTTAGACCAGTAAGTTAGAGTAAAATTAATCATACTTTTCAATAGTTCAATTGCTGCTTGCAAAATAATTTGCCCTTGTGTATTTCTTTTCTGTTTTTTATTTTTATTTCTTTTTTTTTTGTGACTTATTATTGTATTTTAAGAAAAAAACAAATTCATAATTTATGAAAACAATAATATTACATTGTACATTAAGAATATTTTTATACTAATAAATATTATGCACTTTATTTTAGATTGACACAAATGATATTTTAAAGCATGTGATAGGTGGAATTAGTGTTTTAAATTTAACCGACAGTGAAGTTCCTGTATTGCATCCAATATCCAAACAGTTTTCTGATCTAAATGTTGGACCTACACAAAGTGATATGTTAAAAGTAAACAAATCTTATTGATTTTTTTATTTAAATTTAGAAATTTTTGAAATTATATTTAATATTATATTATCAGGAACCAAGGACAGCCTGACTATTAAAAATATAGATATACTTCACACGATGGGTGGGCCTCTGTTGTAGGTAAGAAGTTGGGAAGTTAGAATATAGCAGGGAATAAAATTTACATCTGTATGCAAAGATTAATCATTGCTAATGAAAAACAACTGTTAGCAGAGTTTAATAAATATCATTGCTTTTTAAATAATATGTTTGTCATATTATCTTAAAATAAATATATATTAAAAAAATTCCCATTGACCAGTTACTAGATTTGGTGCACATAATTTTTACTAAACCGTTTTTTTTTTTCAAATTTGATATTAAAATTCTTATAAAAAAACTACATTCAACTCATTTTTATAAATTCTAATGAGCCTCTTTAATTTTTAAGCATTTCTGTTTAGTCTAATAATTTTATCACGAGATTACCTACCCATAACAATTTCATACTAAACTCACAAAATTAAAATGTCTATAAATAGCTCAAAAATGGCTAAGCATCTATCCGTGGTATTAGCTCTAATTTTTTTTTTATATCTGTAAACAACTTTTTTATATAATAATGTGAATAAAATTTCTTCTGGAAAATTTGCTCCAAATGTAGCACCTTTTTTGACTAGAAATATTGGTTGGAAATAATTGAGCGGGTCATTTTTTGATTTTCCTAGTTATAATAATTTGGAAAAATCGGGGAAAAAAAATTTAAAAAAAAGTAGGGTTAATAGATAAATGATTATTAAGAAAAACCAAAATAGGCTTGTTTTCTATCAAAAATATTATTACAATAGAAAAACAAGACACCTTTCTTGTTGTAATTTAAACTTAATTTATGGGTAAGAAAGTTTTTGATTTTCTGTTTTAATAATTAAGCAAATCCGAAAGAAAAGGAATATAATGATTTTATTATATTTAATTTTTTGAGAGTGGAGGGAGGAATATGTTGGGTTTACAATGCTGTTAATTTTTTTTTCTCAGATTTTTACCAATTTTTAAGTGTCACACTTTTTCAGAAAGGAAATTAGAATAAGGTAGTACCTTTAGTAATTTTTTTTTTAGATTCTGAGTGAGCTAAGAATGTATTTCAAAAATGTTTTTTTTTTTTTTTTTTCTGTCTATGCGCAGTACTATATCTGAAAGGAAATGTTGTCTAGATAGTACTTTTGAGAGGTTATTTTTTGATTTTCCAAGTGTTTTTCATAATACTGGGAAAAACCACGATGAAAAATAAGAAAAACTGGGAAACAGTGCTTTTATTATTTTTCAAATAAAAGTAAGAAACTTGAAATTAGGACAGAAATGTTGTATTTGTCTTTTCTAGACATGGTAAAATTTTAAAAAACATTTAAGCTATTAAATACTTTTAATTTTATATGTAATATTTATTTAGTAGGTACTCTGTGCTAAACTTAGACTAAACAGAAATGCATGAAAGTTTAACAGGCGGTTCATTAAAAGTCTTTGTAGTAAAAAAAAATTGAGTTTAATGTAGTATTTTGTTTTTATAAAGGAATTTGAATATTTGGCAAAAACATTATGTGAAACAAATCAAATTTTCCATTTTTTTTTTTTTTTTTAAGAATTTGTATATTGGTGAAGCCAGAATTAATCGTACTAAGTTTCGAAATCATAGCTTTTTAAAGTTCATATATTATGTTATGTTCAATTATTCTATATTGTCCTTAAAGCATATTTCTCATGTTCTAATGGTTATTTTTGCTTATTATCACATCTTAGGGGTTCCCAAACCAGTGTGATGAAAAAAGTGATTTGCATTTTTTTTCATTTTACTTAAATAAAGAAAAAAACAAATGCATTTTGGATGTACTTAGAGACCCAAGCAATTGCTCCTATGGACTATTTTAATCGCAAAATACTCTTCAATTTGTTGTTCAAAATTTTCTACCAGTAATTTCTTTCAGATTCATAATGATAGGACTTTTTCTGAAAGGAATTTTGACTGGGAAGATACCTTAGGGATGTAATTTTTGATTTTCCCAGAAGTTTTTTCAATAAATGGGAAAAACATGAGAAAATCGGTAAAATATTAAACAGATATTATTAAAGAAAATATATAACACCTATTTAGTTATTTTACTATAATATGACATATATATTGTTGACAATGTATTATTATCAACTGAACTCTGCTCAGAATCGTTTTTTGTTAGAAATGGTTTATCGTGGCTTGCAGATATACATTAAATTACTTATAACAGTGGCTGCATTCATCTCTATTATTCTAGAACATCTTTTTATAAGAATTTTGATGAAAATCGTTATTATTATGGCCTTTAATATAGTATTGTGTATACAATCATTACTCTGAATTTATTGTTGCCTACAGATATAAATTAGATTTATCTCTGTACCCTATACTGACTTGAGGGCCAGTATTTCTAAGCTCTACCCATGGTTTTTATGTTAATATATTATTGTGCTTAACTAATACTTAATATTTTTATCCATTTTAGCATAAAATATATACATTTATTTATTTTCACATGTATATATAGGTAATGACACCGCCAATTACAAATGATATATTTAACTACACAAACATGCAAATATATGGTAACAGTTTTTTTGAATTTGCTGCTTCATTAGTATTATTTGATGCATTTAAACTACAAAGTGTAACATTTCTAACTAAAAAAAAAATGAAATTAATTGATCATCAAAACTTATTTTTTGTCGGCATGAAAATTAACATTGGGTCTTATTTATTAGTATGTCTTTACCAAACTAAGAATAAATTCATATTATTGTTTAATTATTATAAATATTTAGGTAAATGATTATCAGCCACAAGATTGGATACCACCATGTTTTGGTATTCCTCAACAATTAGTGGCTCTGATTGAAAAATATGATTTACAACCAAATGTGTTGCATGAAGTAAAGTTGACAAAGGATGTTAAATATTCTGGTAAATTGAACTAATTACTAATTATTTATGTTTGTTAAATATTAAATATGCACCTACTTTTGTATTTAATAAAGCTATTATGGTTGCATGTGAATTGTTGCAACTTTTATATGAACCTAATAGTTATATTGCTACCTACTGTATGTAAAATATAATACAACATTTAAAAAAATAGTTTATTAATTTCACTGCAGATTACCTTATTATTTCAATAAGCGACCAGCCTTTATTTATTTTTATTTTTTTTACATGTTATAGATTCTGAGGAATCTATTGGTTTAATAATGATTTTTATTTTTTTATTTTTTTTTTCTGTGAACAATTTTTCTACCAGTAATTTTGCTCCAACTTTCAATGATAGTATTTTTCCTGAAAAGAAATCTGACTGGGATGTTACTTTAGAGAGATTATTTTCAGATTTTCCCAAGAATTTTCATAGCCAATGTAAAAAATTGAGATAAAACATGAGAAAACCGGGAACAATTTAGGAAAATTGGGAAAATCGGTAAAACATTAAATAAATATATAGAAAATATAGAAAGCCTTTTTTATTGTTTTAATATAATATGACATTAATTTATTGTTGATCACTATCAACTGAACTCCATTCACTCCGCACTATCAACTTCAGAATCGTTTTTTTGTAAGCAATGGTTTATCTTTGCTTACAGGTATACATTAAATACATACATATATTAAATTACCTATAACAGTGGCTGCATCCATCCCCATTATCCTAGGATATTTTTAAATATTATATTGCCTGACTCAGTTAATTCTGTAAAACCATATTATGTAATAATAGTAATAAATAAATAAATTGGGAAATTATATATAACCTAATATTATAATTATTATAAAATGTTCAAGTTTATAACCTATTGAATAAATCAATTTTGTACAATCATTTTAAATTTTTAATGTTACATTATAATATGTTAAATTTCTATTTAATTTAGAAAATATATTTTATTATTAGTCTGTTATACTCATATTTTATTGTTCAATACAATTGTACCTATGTTGTTATACTATTAATTGTATTATGACATACATATATCTATATATATATATATTATATATACTATATATAATGAATGGTGTACATAGTAATAAACATATTGAAATTTGTATTGATTTTTGAAAATAAATAACACCCTCTTTTTTGTAGGAATCATAGGATCTGAAGATTGGATAAATATTGAAACTGATCTTCTAAAAAAAAAAAATGTAATAGATAATGCAACAAATTTTGAAATTGATGATGTAAAAAATTCGGGATTTAAATCAGTTGAACAATCCCAGTCTTATTTATTTATAAATAAACAATTGATTGAGAAGAAAATAATAGCGCATTGCATTGAATCATTAGTGGGAACTTATGTAAAAGTTAGTCCAAATATAAATATTACATTTACAATATATTTAATCCAAATGTGTTTTAATTTTAGTGTTCTGGTGTTGAAGTGGGCTTCAAACTTCTTTGTGGTCTTGGTATTATACCAAACAAATTTATTGATTCATACAAACCTAAACAAAAAATGAGTATTGACCAATTCAATAATTTAAATTTTTCAACCATTTTGCCTGGTTATGAAATACTTGAAGACCGAATTAATTACTCATTTAAACATAAGGATCTTTTGCTTGAAGCTCTTACCCATACATCCTATCAATATAAATATCCTATCAATAAATATTTTGACAGTTATGAAAGATTAGGATTTATTGGTGAAGCCATACTTGGTTAGTACCTTATTTAGTTAATATGCCTATTAAATAAACATTTTTACTAAATTTTTATAATAATCATAATAAAACTTAATTTGTGAAATGCATCTTCAAAAAACAAGTTCAATTTTGTCTTTAAATATTTTAAAGACAAATATTTCAAATACTAATTGAATATGTTTTCCTTATTAAGGTTACCAATATTTTAAAGATTAAGGGTTTTCCTCTTATATATAATATGAATTTTCATTTGTTATATTAAAATATTTATTTTATTTAAATATAAAATATATTGTCATATTATAGATTTGCTAAGCTGGGCAAGTTAGTAAGTTTGTTAACTAAAGTTAAGTTACTTTAATATAAAACTAATAAAGTTAGAAAAAATATTACTTTCTAAAATTTCAACTTGGGTAAAAATAGTGACATTTATTCTAACCTAAGGGCATGCCGCATATGTAACTTAATTAATGATTAATAATAGTAAAACACAAAATTATTAAATTATTGCACATAGAATGGAAGATGGAACATACTTTTTGGAACACAAATTATTGTTGGCTGTTCTTATTAACTAATCTGCCATGATACTGGTGTCATTCATAGTATCTAAGATGGCTTTATCACTTGCTTTGTTTAAAAAACATTGACCTAAATAGGTGGATAGTTTAACCCTTAACTTGGCAGAGTATTTTTTAGGATACCTACTTCATGTTTGCAAGTGTTTTATTCAATGATATTTAGAAATATTTTTGATCTGACTTTGTGAATACACCGTGTTACATATGGTTTAAAAGGAAGAAACAAATTGTTATCACTATTAACACATTTAATGTAAAGGTTTTGGTCTCATGTTATTTTGGTGTTAAATCCTATACAGGGAGTTTTTTTTAACAGAGTTTTTAGATAATTTGAATAAGAAATTATACAATTTTTTTAAAAAAGTGGACATTGACAAGTTCTATTACAATAATTATGCATAATATTATATATTTATTCAGTTTATGTCTATTTAATAAGTTTTGATAATATGTGTATTACCAGGAAATATCCATTTTGATAATTATATCTTATATGATACATTATTAAGATATACATTAAGAAATGTCGATTTTATTAATTGTTTCCTATAAGATACATCACCAATTACTGATAATATTTGTTATTTATTCTGGTAGTGGTTTAGATAATATGTAATAAATAATATACTATAATTTAGCTATTGTTTCATGGATATTAATGTTCTTTAATATATTATAAATTATTAATATATTTAAATTATGTATGACTATTATATATTATTATTACTTGTTACTAACCTTATGGAAAATATTAATGGTGAATCATAAAATGCAAGAATGCTAAATAAACCACTAAAACTGGGAAAGCTAATAATGTGGATTTCTAAAAATAAAGATTACATAACCCATATTTAATATTTTTGGTTTTTGGGAAAAATTGTATTGTTTTGTTAAAAATAGATGATACAATGATCATAGTATTTATTGTTTTATTATATTCTGTGTACAATATTCTCCATGATTTTAGGTTTCCAATTATTATTATATTATAAATTCTAACAAATTTTTTTTTGGTTCATATATATTTTTAACTTCCAATAAAATATTATCCTAAATGTTAGTATTCTCTAATTTTATTTTCCATATGTTAAGAGTTTTAATCAATTTAGTTTCCAAACATTTGGCATTTCCTGTTATATTATGTTAAACTATTAGGGAGTTGCTGTCTCTAAGTCATCAAAAACATCTACTTTGAAATTTTAAATCTATTATCTTGATGTTTGCTAATTTAAGGGTTAAACTCTGTGTTACAAAAAATTTAATATGCTAAGAAATGTAAATTATATTGTTCTGTGAAATAACAGAACATTGAGAGTAAAAAAATGTGTGATATTTTTTATATGATTTAAAAATATAACTATTTATTCTTTGTTTTTAAGGAATTAGATAAGATAATTTCATGCATTCAATCTAAGTATGTTGTTAATGCCCAGCTTTGTAAATTTTTGATTAAGAAATTAATTAGTATTATGCTTATATGTACCAAATTAAATAACACATAGTATTACTATTGAGTTATTTAATAAGAACAACTGTTACGTATTGTTATAGCAAAAACATAGTAAACTATATTGAATAATAATTGATTAACACAAAATAACAATCATAATAACTCTGCATAATAATTTTGCCCTTTTTAATCAAGGTTCGATTAAGCATTATACATTTGCTGGGTGTATGTGGAATTGTTTTCTCCAATTGATTCTCTTTTACTTAGAAAATATTTGTTGCTTCTGTGACATACCAGGCAATTCATTTAATGGGTATACCCATTATCTCAGAAAGTATTAACTTTTTACAGAATTTGTGTTCTAGAACACTAAAAAAACAAGCTGCTTCATAATTTTATATTTGTGTTATTTTTTGGCAGCCTTATTTTTGGGGGTAAAACAACTACCTCCTTTTGATTTTCAAATGACAACCTATGTTAAAAAGTCCATAAATAGATTGAGTATTAGTTAAAATAGATTTTAGTGTTCAATTTTTTTAATTTCTGTCAAGCTGTTGAGGAGATATTCCACTTTTAAGTTTGGGTTGGAGGAAAGTAGTGGAATATACTTTGTGTGTACAACTAGAATAGAAATCAAAAATGTCAACATTAAATTTATTTTAACTAATACTCCATCTATTTATCAAATTTTTAACATAGGTTGCCATTTTAAAATCAAAATTAGGCAGTTGTTTTACCCCTAAAAATAAGGCTGACAATAAATAACACAAATATAAAATTGTGGAGCAGCTTGTTTCTTAAATGTTCTAGAAAACAAGTTCCAGAAAAAGTTAATACTTTCTGAGATAATGAGTATAGCCACTTAAATGATTCACCTGGTATATTAACCATGTAATCACATTTTAAGTATACTATTTTATTGTTAAAGCAAGCAGTCACCATAGCTTCATGAACTTTGTCTTTGGAACTAATAAGAAAAATTACAATAAAATGGGTAATCATCTAAAAAAACAAAAGATGTGTCCTTCATATAAGACCACAAAAATCTGTTAATACAATTTTTAGAAGTTTTGTTGTTCAAGTTTGTATTCCAGTAAAAGGTTTTCTGGTTTGTTTGGCCATTACATATGTCTCACCAAGGTTTAGAAAAATTATTGATAGTCTTACTTAATTTAAGATAATCTATTAAATTGTCAAGCATGTACATGTATTTTTCATTAAGGTGGCCCAACCTTATATGTCATAATTGAAAATGTCATTGGTATTGCAGTAATTAGTTTTATTTTATAATTAACGCTGAACAATATTTTATAAAGAGTGCCTTTTCGATTTCCAATTGCTATAACAGTTTCATTATGTAGTATTTTGATTTGACCACTAGTAAATACAACTTGTAAGCCACTCTGCTCAATGTATCCCATTGATCATAGATTATTTTTACCATTTAATAATTGAAGTAGGCTAAAGACTCGAACAGATTTCTCTTTAAAGTCTTGTCCTGTTTTGGCAACACCAATTGAAAACAGATTATTCAATTTTTCTTTGGAGTTAAAGTGGTGCTGCTTATTGTTAATACAGCAGTCAGAAGCTTCAGAGTTAAGATACAAATAAAGAATATTGGAACTAGGTTCTTTATTTTGATTTGATAGAAAAGTAAAGCTTTAATTTTCTATATCATCTGATCCTTCCTCTGATTGTTAAATGAGCTTGTTTCTTTTTCCATACTTTAGGATTCTCTTTTTTTTTAAGTTTATTTGAATACTCCTATTTCGCATGCCCTAATTCTTGACATAACCAAAATTTTAACTGCTTATTTGTATTAGAAACAAAGGCTGTATTTAGACAAAGTCAACAATTATCTTGTCTCCTGATGCAGTTACAATTGTGTTGTATAGGGAGTGAGATAAGCAGTAGACAGGCAAGCAAGTCATCCTCGAGCTTACTCCTGGGGAGATTTTACTTGACATACAATATCGTTAAATTTGCAGAGATTTGTTTCCATGGATTCATCATCAACATACTTCAACACTAAAAGCCTCTTCAACACTATCATTTATCTCACATTTACACTTAAATGTAGCTTCTAATTTTTCCCAAATTTCTTTAGAATTTTTGCTTTCTTTAACATACTCTAAGTGAGTATCTGCGATACAATGTATGTTCAAAGAAAAACAAATACCTTTTTCCATTTTGCCAATGTAGTGGTGTCAGTAGGGAATTTATACTATACAATGACTAACTTGGTTTTCCCAAACCTATATTGTCATATGGAACCTCCAGTTTTCATAACCAGTTCTCGAAAATTTAAATATTCCATACTTTTCTTCTTTCAACAACATGTTCATAACATAGTAAACTAACACAATATGGTTTCATTATTAAATATCTGGAAAACTAGAAAACCATGTGTGGGTCCATAACCTATTGAGTTATTTAAAAAAAACAACCGTGTTACACATTTTTATAATAAAAACATTTTTATTTTTATTCAAAAATTATTGACTAACACAAATAAAAATTTGAATTTGTTGCTATAACTCAGAGAATACAATATATAAAGATAAACTATATTTATAGAGTACTGTCAACTTAATTACATTTCATATGATTTTTAGTAAGTAGGTTCATACATATGTATAATAATATCATATATATTATATTCTTTTTATCAGTATTATACTATTGATCAAGAGATAGTTAACTTAATTCAATTTCTTATATTACCTACTTAATCTGGTTTTTAAACTTCAGGATGTATCCATAATGTATAAATATAAATTATCTTCAATTTAAATCTCTATGCAACAATAAAATAGGTAATAGGTAAAATATATCTCAACAAATAAATAAATTAATAACTAATAATAAAAATAACAAAAAAATAAAATTGAAAATAATCAAAACATTATTTTTGTAAATTGTGCTGTTTTTCTTGGTTATTTCCAATTATTTTGAAAATTGTTTAAGTTCCACACCAGGAAAATTTTCTTTCAGAAAAGATTCTACACTTTAAAAATGAAGCATGATTTCTGGTAGAACTTTTATATATAGTATAAAACTAAATATAAGTTGAGATCAGTTCTGTTGATGGAATGTATTATTTTAATTATGAAATAAGTCCCTCCCTGATCCTTCTGGCTATAAAGTTTTTAAAAGGAAGTGTGGTCAATATGGAGACTGCTCAAAATAACTGCCTCCCTTCTAGTCATCACATATGATTTGTGCCAAAATAATAGCAATGTTTTATCATTGGGTTCATATCAGTTTTTTTTTTAAATAATTTGAAAATTTTTTGGGGGAGGGTTATTTTTACAAACCATATTTTTCTGATTATGTATAGTTTTAAACAGTATTTAAAGACTGTGTGTTCTATAATTCTTGAATAAACCCTGTCAATACATTTTATGATTTGTATATTATAAAAAATAAAACAAATTGCAGATTTCTTAATAATGACATATATAACTGAGAACTATAAAGAAAAAAGTCCTGAAGAAATAACAGATATTAGATCTTCACTTGTAAATAATACAACATATGCAGCATTAAGTATTCGCATTGGATTGCATAGATTCTTTTTATATGCATCTGAAAAATTGTCTAAAGAAATTGATAAATTCTATGACTATCAGAATAGAAATGATCACAAAATTGGCCAAAGAGTAAGATATAAATTTATATTATGTTATCTATGTATATAAAATAATATATCCTAACCAACTGGCTGACTGGTTCATCATTGCCTAATCCAAACCACTGGAAGATCGGGCTGAAATTTGACAGGACAGGACAGCTTATTGGAGCGGATTTGGTATTTTTGATACATTTATTAAATTAAATTTATTGATTATTATTATTACTATTACTATTATTTACACTATTATTTAGCAATAGCTAAACATTAGTTAATAAAGTATTGACATTAAAATATTATAATCATATGTCTATATGTCTATATAAAAATGAATCTAAATTTTGTTGTTGATGCCAAAACTTGAAAATAGTAGATCGATTTGCCTGATTTTTTTTTTGTTATTGTATTTTTAATTCATTAAGACAAGTTTTTTATGAATGTAAATTTTTGAAAAATCTGCCTGAAAATTCATAAATTTAAATGGAATTTTGTGTGAAAATTGCAATACTTTTTTTAAATTTCATTCTTAGCACTGATTAAACCTGTAAATCACCAAAAATAATTCAATAATTAACGTTCAGTTCTGATTTCACATGTTTTTATAATAACAGCATATTGATGATAAATAAAAATAAAGGTTTGTATGAAAGAACATTTTTTGGAAAATCTACTGGAAAAGTTTAGAAATTTGAATGATATTGAAGTCATGGAGTCACCAACAAAATATTGATTTTGTTTTTATACATTTAGATTACCAAATGAGTTATTCATTTTATATTAATGACTGCACCCGTCCCCAATATCCTAGGACATTATTTCTATAATTTAAAATAGATTATTTTAAAAAACTAATTATTTTCAAATTAAATTTAAGACATTCATTTGAATGAATATAGGTACCATCTTTAGCACTGTTACTCATATTTAGAATCACCAATAGTTATTATTAACTTGTATAATGGCAATATTGTTACGCAACAAAAAATTAATTGAAATGTATAACATTTTTTTGTCAAATTAAAATTATTTATTAATAATAAAATAATAAGTAAAAACAAAATTATTAAATGGTTAATACTCGTAGATACATATACATGTATAAATAAATAAATTAATGGGCCTGGAGTATACTGAAATGTGTTTTGTATGTTTAATAATGTATTTAATTGCACAAATAACTCCAATTAAGTGATTAATTTTAATAAAAATATATATTATAATATAATAATTTAAAATCCCCATATTTTGGTCTTTAATTCTATATTATTTTTCTCAATAATTTCTTAAGATTATTTTCATATATTTTTATAATATTATAATATTTGAAATATATGTAAAAATAATTAAAAGTTATGTTTTTCAATTCTATCTATTTTAATATATTCTATAGAACACAATTTAATGTTAAAAATTAAATTACCCCTATTTTATTTTAAATTTAAAACGACCATTTTTAATGTCTATAAATACATTTAAATCCAATATTATAATTCTAAATTATAATATTAATTTGTATTCATTAGTAAGTTTTATTTGAAATATAATAAACAAATGTATATATTTATTTATGAGTATTAACCATTTTAAATAATTTTGTTTTACTTTATTATTTTATTTATCTAATTTTTTTAAAGATTTTTACATAATCAATAGCACCTTCAATTGAATTGATCCATACAAAATATTTTGTTATTAATTCTTTTATTAAATACCATTGCTTTATTAACTTTAAAATTGATTGCAATTAAATCAATTTAAATTTTAATAATTTGATTTATAATTATAATATGTTTATGTTAAATGTTCATTAAAATTTTCTTTATACTAATTGGAATCTGAATCAATCTAGTCCAATACTCATTTATTAATATAAAAAAGTTTTACTACAATTTTTTTTTCTAATTTTTATTGTTTTCAATTAAATACAATTAAGAAAGTAATTTAACTAAAACCAATAACAAATTATTTCATTGTTTAAAAAAAAGTTTAATAAATTTAATATATATTTATTAAATACATTAATATTCAACCCTTTTTACTATCTTCAGTTCATAACTAATATATATTAGAAATCAGTGAATACAATTAGAAAAAAATTATTTCTTATGTCCAAATTTATATAAGTACATACATACAAACGAGCACTTAGTCTTAAAGTTGTTTTTGTAAATATTATAATTTTAATATTTGTTTAGATTGTATATCTTGTTGAAGAAAGAGATTGTTATGAACTTGAGTATATGGATGTTCCATGTGCATTGGCAGATATGTTTAAATCATTTATTGCTGCAATTTATTTAGATAGTAACAGAGATTTAAATTTTGCATGGTCAATGATCTGGAAATTGTTTGGATATGAAATTGGTAAATGTTGAATATAGTAATTGAAGATTAGGATTCCTTGAACAATAGCAATATTTCAATTTCCACCCCTATAAATTATTTGTTACATAAGTAGACTATTAATATATTATTTGAGTAATTAAAAACTTAATTAATTTAGATTTATAGATTTCTATATAGGTTTCAGTAAAAATATACATTATTATTGATTTCTGTATATTAAATTGAACTAAATTAAATTATTAATAATTTTTTATTTTACAGATCAATTTTGTATCAAAGTTCCTAAAAATCCTATACGCATTTTACAAGAAACTAAATTAAATCCCACTTTCAGGTATGAACTAATTATATATTATATGTAAACTAAAATTACTTGAACTATTGTTAATATTAAATATATAAATATATACATTTTTTAAATTTAATTTTTAAGAAGTTAGGAAAGCTTACTTTACATGCTTAATTCCTAATTTCTTAAAATATGTTAAACTGTTATCAACAATAATTTCATGTAGATTTGTATATGAATTTGGTAACTAGTATACGTAATAATAATAATATGTATCTTTATACATATATTTCTTCTGTCCATGTGTATGTAATTGAATTCCTACTAAACTTGTTTAACTAAATTTGTTGTGTGTTTAAATGAGTCCCTGGATGATTCAGGTTCACAATTGATTAAATTTTGTTTTGGTGATTTATGGGTTACCTTGGTGATAAAGATGAAAAAAAAAAATAGTAATATTACAGAATAATGCCATGAAACATGTATAAGCAATCCATAACCATCAATTAAATAGAATGGCAGAAGATCAATTGGTGGACAGTGTGAATTTAAGAAACCATAATGCAAAGACATATGCAAATGAAAATCAAGAGCATTAAAATGAATGTGAAGCATTAACATGTACATCATGTACATGTATTAGCTATTTGTAAATCAATTCTTGTTTCCAAATGAAATCATTTGGAACAACAAAAACAGTGCATGATGAGGATAGTTGTAATTTTGCATTAACATTTAAGATTTAGGGCCAAGTGTATCATAAAATTTGTTCTTTGTTCTTAATGCCTGATGCTGATTCAAAATATTTCTAAATCCTCTTCATGGACGATAAGGAGCAACAAATTAGCACACAGCAAGAAATAGCACAAACTTGAAAAATCATAACCAGTTGGTTCAGTTGTTCAAGATTATTTTCAACAGATACGTAATTATTATTAAAGCTGATAAAGTACCATATGGAGAGCACACAGGCAGATTTAATGTACCAAATGTTAATGAAGTTGCAGTTGTTATGGCTGGCGACCCATTTGGATATAAGGATACAATGTAGAGACAACACAGTGCAGAATCGTTCTTACAATGCTTTGCAATGTCATTGATATTTTGTGAAGATGAATATTATTTAAAAATTAAATAAAGAAATCCAATGACAGGTACAGAACTAAACAAGAAAGTTAGCACAATGAACTTCTATGCATATCAGCTGATGATTCCTGCCAATGGAGATAGTAATATTTGATGCCTCTAGCTATTTCATCAATACATTGTTGATATGTGTGCAAAAATTGAAAATGAGTTTTTACAGTACATAAATTTAATCAAGTGAAGCTTCCATCTGAGGATAACATTTCTTTGCATACATTGTAAATGAAACAACTAAAATCAACAACATTGGTACCCCATTATAATCTTCCATGTCATCTTCTATATCATCAAGCTAATTACACTATTTATGAGTGATCACTATTTTGGCTAGCAATGAAATATCTTAAAAATCGTTCTACAATGTTTTTGATCTTAAGGAAGTTGTTAACTACCTTGTTAATTCTTGAATTCACTGGATTTACCTGGAATGCCACCATATAACTGATATAAATTGATGATTGGTTCAACAATTATTTTGCTTCAAAATTTGAATGCACCAAAATTATGCAATGGTACACATGATGAGTCATAAACAAAATCATGAGCATTGTTCTTGAAGCTACCATTTTAAACAGCAAATATCAAGGTAAAATTGTTCTTCTACCAGGGATCCCAAAATCCCTTCATAATTTAAAATTCAAATTCCATTTAAACATTTGCAATTTCAAATTAGCTAGGTTCGATCTAGAAAATCCATGTTTTCATATGGCCAATTATATGTTGAGGGTTGAAAAACATTTTCAAAATTCTTAGAGGGTACTTATTTTATATTTAAAGCGTAGCAAGAGATCTATTGATTTTTCTATGATTTGTTTATATTTTTTTTTTTTGTCTGTGAACAACTTTTCTAAAAGGTTATTTTCTTTAGTTGAAAGGTCATTTTTTGATTTTCCAAGAGGTTTTCGAAAAATAATTGGGAAAAACCTGAAATAAAATTATAGGTAAAATGACAAATTGTTAAAACATTGTGCCACACAACAATTGATAAAAATTAAAAACTTCAAAAACAACATTTATTTTAATTAATACTCCATCTATGTATGGAATTTTGAATCTAGGTTACCATTTTGAAAATCAAAAGTAAGTAGTGGTTTTACATCCAAAAATAGGAGTGACAAGAGAAATAACATAAATTTAAAATTATAGAGCAGCTTGTTTGTTTCTTAAATTTTCTATAAAACAAATTCTGAAAAAATGTAATACTTTCAGAAATGTCAAGTGTATTACAATAAATTGATCACTCTGTATACACCACATATCAATACCATGCTAACTATTGTTGGAGCCTTAGACACTAGACCCAACATGTGTTTAGTGCATAAACTTGATATCCATCTAAAATTTGGTGCAAAATTAACTATACTTATTATCAATATTTTGTATGAAACTTATTAAATTTTCATTTCCTTTTTCAATACAAGTTTACTCAGTATTTATTTCATCTAAATTAATTTAATAAAAAATAAAAAATATTTCTCCTCTTTTAGTTTGATTATTAATATTATACTACTATTGCAGCTTTGTTGCCCACAGTAATTCTATAATGACTCAAACTATGTTTACCTATTCTTTAATTTTGTTATTATTTTGCAGAAGATCTCCTGATTCAGTTAATGAAGTTTGTAAAGGCACAGGAATTATGATGCAGTTAAATATTAATATAAATAACAAAATTATTATTGTACATGGCTTTGGTTTAAATAAATACAAAGCTAAAATAGCTGCTGCAAAAATTGCATTAAAAGAACTTAAAAATTCTTTAAATAATTAATTATTACTTTATATTATATACATTATGAACATTTATTTAAATACTATTATTTTAGTTGTGGTTTAATAATATATCTATTGTATTTTATTTTTAGATTTAGTATGTTATCAACCAACAAAAATGTATATTTGACTGAAAACCTTTATTTTATTTTAGCTGTACAATTTTCAAAGTGATTTTCCACATGAATTGTGGTTATTACACAGAACATTAGTTTTATAAAAATTAGTTGATATCTCTAGGTAGGTATTTTTTTTATAAAGGCTTTTAAACAAATTGTGTAAGATACTTCCAGGATAAAAATTTTATTATAAAACTAGCAGATAATCAAAGTATCTATGAGAAATTTAATTTAAAAATGTTTTAATATTGATGTTGTGCATCATATAAATATTTAAAAGATTAGAGATTTTGTTTGTAGATGACTTTTAAAACATGCATTTAAATATAACTGTATATAGAATTCTTTTGTTTTAATACTATTTTAAATTAAATTAAATATAGGTGGTAAATATAAATGTCATGGTAGATAACATACTGAACTGAAAAAGTAGCAGTATATAAAATATAGAACCACAATTTTTTTAAGTACTTGTATTTTTTTTTTTGTGTGACTAGTTTTATATTACATTAAAATATCTTTTAATAAGTACTGATATTGTATGAATTGACTATATAAATTATTCGTATTATTTGAATTTTTAATACAAATATAATAACTAATAAGTTATATCTCCTATTTTCCTGAGAAATGCTGTATGTATTATAATAACACTTATCTTATAATGAAGGAAGTTCCTAGGGAATATTTTGAAATTTAAGGCACTGATGAACAAATTGTTTAGTTTTAACTATATAAACATGACTATTATGATGATTGTTATTGGCTTAGAAAAAGAAAGAAAAACTAAGTAAGATTTAAAGTTAAGGTAAAGACTAGGGCATTTTGAATAGCAAATAATTATTTATGAAAAAAATATAATAAGAATTGTTATCTTTATCAAGTTCTTAAGCCTTTGGATCAGTGCTGTAGAAACTCCACCACACTTTAAGCTCTTGTATGAAAACCTATACTTTTTTTATTTCAAATTAATTTTATTGTTGTCAGGGAAAATATTTTAAAATCAGTCCAATAAATTTTAAATGTCTATTGTCAAAGGCAGGCCATAATCTCTGGCTCTCCTAAAATATTTTATTTCACTGAATAGTTTGAATTCAAATTCTTTAAGTATTGTTATTTAAATTGTGAGTAACAATGTGAGTCTGAATTTTCTACAATGGTCATAATTAAAACTAAAGCAATAAATCGATTGGATATTAAGGACGATATATGCATTGCTCTGCCCAATACAGTCCAAGATTTTATGACAATATTGCATTCAAAACAACAGCAAATGGTGTAAAACTTGTTTTTGACTATAAGAAAAAGTGGATATTCACAATAATTTAATATAATATTAGTAGTATTATTTCTTAGATTTATCATTAAAAAATAATTAAAATACAAATTATACTTATTTATTTATTTTTGCGGGAAGGGTCTGTGTTTATATAAAATTTATACTTAAAAGGATCCATGGTCCAGAAAAGGTTAAGAATCTATGATCTAAACGAAACATTCACCTGAAGACTGGGAAGCTATTATCAAGTCTAGTATGAGGGAGAGAAAATTTGCACTCCTTAGATAGCAAATCAAAATGCTCCATTTATTATCTCACATGTTTCAGTCTTTAAAATGTATAAATCTAATATTTATGTATATAAACAGTATACTTTCTTTGGTTTATGACACATATGGCAAATATACACCAGTGATGAACATTTTGCAAGTATACAAGTCACAAAAAAAACATCTGTATGCATAATTCTTATTTTTTTTTCACAATTAGTCTATATATTTTTATTTATAGATAATATAATAGTAATAACTATAGAAAAATGTATTGAAATAATCATAGAATATAAAAAATGTAGATGCCTATAACCCTATAAAATACATATAAATTGAATCCTAAACCACATAAAATTTAATAAATACCACATGGAATGGTTTACAAAAAGTAAAAAAAAAAGTTCTCAAAACCTTATGTATTTAAAATCCACAAAATTCTTGAAAATGCAAGTAAAAACAAAAGATGGTAGTATTTTTAAATCCCTTCTAATGGTCATAAAATACAATTTTCGAACACTACGAAAATTATTAACACAAGATTTTAAATAAAATTAAATATGTTAGATAATTGCATTTGGTAACCAGGTGGTTGGGAGTGGAAGTTTTAAACTTCTCTGGACCCTCTGTTATTTTTGCTTTTTTTAAATTTTTTTTTCAGTTATTTTGATATTTTCAAGTTATTTTCTATGGATTTTAAATGCATAAAGTCCAAGTCCTATGACTATTACTATGTTTATATGAAACCATTTTGAAAATCATTAATATTTTTTCACGCCATAATTTTTGTTATATTTATTAAAACTATCTTAAATTCAATAATTACTATTGATAAATCAAATATCAGATTTTGTACTTTTAATTTGAAAGCTTTGTAATTAAGTTATAAGTTTAAATTTATTATACTAATGGTTAAAAGGCTATTTGAGGTAGACACTGATCATATAGCCTTAAGAATGACATTCTAACAAATTTATTTTATGATTGATACTTCCCCAAATCATAATTGTACGACATTAATAAGCCGGTAATAAATTATACCTGTACTTAGTTGTAAGTGACAATTTAAACAGTAAACATCAATGCAGTATGCACTACACAAAAATGGTGTGAATGACTTGCACAACATTATAGTTATTTACACACCAATATTTGTGGCTTACATCATATTGATGGAATGAACACAGTATGAAGTAAATTAAAATTGGTAAGATACATGTAGTAAGCACTGCTATAAATTGAATGATTGCAGTGTTCTAGAATAGTGATCGGTAGAAAAAAATTTTATCCCAGCCATATTAAAAACTTATAAGTAACTAGTGCTATCTAGTGTACATTAAATTTTCAGTAACATTATAAAGATGCCTATTTTTTAAAACTTAATACAATTAATAATGCTTTCTACCTATACCTATAGCAAAGCTATTGCTGTGGTTTATATATTAGGTTTTTGTTATTTAAGCAATATTAAATAAATCAAATTATAAAAATACTCTGAAACCTTAAACTATAAAACAAAATAATGTTATTCCTAAAGTGTAATGTAGTATTATATTTATTTAAATAAATTTAACTTTATCATTAAAACCCAATTAATTACAACAATTTGAAGTTTGAAAAAATGTCAAAATCGTTTTTGGCAGTCTTGAACAATTGAGTTTGTGACATTTACACCAAATAGCCTTTTAACCGATGATATTACATTAAAACTAAAATTTAAACCATTCAACCATTTTAAATTTAAATAAATTTAGTTAAAAATATTTTGATGGCTTCATATAAATGTAGTATATGATATATAGTTTACAATTTTGATCTTAGTTCAGCTATTTTATGACTCATAAGTTTTTGCAATTCAACTAATTTTAATGCTAACCCCATGTTTCCTTGAATTTTGATTTTGCCTTGGAAAAATGCTTTTTGAGGATTCAATTTTCCTGATATAAGTTCAACGACATCATCATCTTTCATTGTAAATGTCACATCAGGTTTGCCTATAACCAATAAATTATTATTTAATACATATTTTAAAATAGGAATAGTTTTTGATATAAGAGATTTAAATTTATATAAATTACCTGTTCCATAAAATGTAACACTTCCTTTTCCAGTTTTGGCATTAATAATCCACATGCCTTCTTTTCCACTACTATTGATAACTTTAAAACAATATATACCGCGTACTCGTTCAATAAGATTTTCTTTGTCTTCCAACATAGCTTCTTCAAGAATTTTGAAAACTTTGTAAACTTTAAATACAGTAGGATCTTTATCTGTTTTTGGATTAATTGACACTTTTTGGGAGGTTCTAAATGTTAACATAAAATCAAACACTTATGTCAATTTGATACAGTTAATTTTAACTAATATTCCATCTAGAATAGTTACGAATAAAAAATATTGTTACTGTGAAAAATTAGGAAATCCTTTTTTGTACAATGCCACTACTACTGCACCACCCAAACCAATATTCTGTTGAAGAGCTATTTTCGCACCAGAAACTTGTCTCTTATCAGCTTTACCAAGTAGTTGCCAGTATAGTTCACTACACTGAGCTATTCCTAGAAGATTAAAAAAAAAAGGAATAATTTATAGATTTTTGTAAAAAAAAAATATTTTACAACTAAATCTTATACAGGGGATCAATCTATCATAAGATACTCATTATCTTGAAAATTAATTTTATAGAAAATTTTGGAAACAAGCAGCTCTGCCATTTTATATTTATGTAATTTTTTTGCACACTAATATTTGGGAGTATTAAATGACTCTCTATTTTTGATTTTCAAACAGCAACCTATATGAAAAATTCCATAAATAGATGGAATATTAGTTAAAATAAATTTTAGTGTTGACATTTTTGATTTCTATCAAGCTGTTGATGATACTTTACATTAAAGTTTGGGTTGGAGGAGAGTAATGGAGTATCATTTATGTGACAGCTAGAAAAAAATTTTAACACTAAAATTTACTTTAGCTAATACTCAATCTATTTATGGACTTTTTAATATAGATTGCCATTTGAAAATCAAAAATAGGTAGTAGAGTTTTACCCCAAAAATAACATAAATATAAAATTGTAGAGCAGCTTGTTTCTTAAATTTTCTAGAAAATAAATTTCGAAAAAAGTTAATACCTTCTGAGATAATGAATGTACCCACTTAAATGGATCACTCAGTACATTGGATTTAAAATAGACTAAGGTAGCAATTCTTTCTATACAAAAGAGTTTAAAAATTGAACATTTAAAATACTTCTTTTTAAGTTTTTGAGAAAAAGTGAATATTTCATAGATTTCCATTGGTTTACACATATTATGAATATTTAATATTTGCTAAAAAAAAATTGAATTTTTCTTAACCAACATATTTTAATTAATATTGAATATAAAACTAAATTGTATTTAATATAGTTATTTATTGTTATTTCTTATCAGCTCAGTCTATTATTAATTTAATCTTTATCTGTTTTGTACAAATTAATAATGACATTATGTTTTTGTAGATTTTGCCTTTTTTAGCTCCTATAACTTCGAAGCACCAGATTTTTGAGCTATTAATAGTTATTTTACATTTTAGAATTTTTTGTTTAGTTTTTTTTTTTTGATAGGTATTGTAGTATAGTATTGTATTATAGATATACATAGTTTGAACTAACAAATATAACACAATCTTCATTATAAGTTGTATTTGGTAATAACAAAAAAAAATTAGTGTGATGTAGTATTTTTTTTTTTAAAGAGTTTCAATTTTAATTTTGACAAAACTTGTAAAATGATAGCATTTCAAGATATGAGTAATGAACTTCCTCAGAATAGTTTTTGTTATCAATGAATTATTGTTGCTTACAGATAAAAATTAAACAATTTCATGTATTCTACCTTCTTAACTGCCAACCAACAATCAGTCCCCAAATTCAACTTTTATTTTTATTTTAGATATATGAGGGCATACCCAAAAGAAACTGAACTGATGTTGTGTGGGACAGAGTTTTAATAGTACCGATGTTTTTCCAGTGGGGGGGAATAAATATACTTCTGAACATTCAATATGCCAATGGCTGTCATTGTGGAAGGTTGTGTTACATTGGTATGATATTTTTTTTAAAAGTTATTTTTCATATTCATCGTTTTTGTAATGGCTGATTTGCGTGAACAGCGCGCGGCCGTCAAGTTTTGCTTCCTGCTCGGGAAAACAGGCACAGAAACCCTTGAGATGTTGAAAACAGCTTACAAAGGTGATGTTTTAGGGAAAAATCAAGTATTTGAGTGGTTTTCCCATTTCAAAAGTGTTGAAATGTCGATAGACGACCAACCTCGCTTCGATGGCGCAAACCAACGAAAATGTAGAAAAAATTCACAAAATTATCCTGGTAGATTGATGGCAAACCATCGAAGAAGTAGTGGAGAGATCTGGTGTGACATGCAGTTCAGTACAAAGAATTTTAAGTGAAGATTTGGGGATGAGACGGGTGGCTGCAAAATTTGTTCCTCGACTGCTAACTGAGCAGCAAAAACAAGGCCGCGTGGAATCATGCTCTTCTTTGAAAGAAGAATTCCAAAATGACCCAAACTTTTTTTCCAAGGTCATTACAGATGACGAATCATGGTGCTATGGATATGATCCTGAAACCAAGCAACAATCGAGCCAATGGAAGACTCCAGCATCGCCTCGCCCTAAAAAAGCTCGTCAAGTGAGGTCAAACATTAAGACAATGCTCATTTGTTTTTTTGATGTAAGAAGAGTCATCCATTCGGAGTTTGTTCCACCCGGTCAGACAGTTAACCAGGCATTATACCTAGAGGTGTTAAAAAGATTACGCAACAGTTTGAGGCGAAAAAGACCTGATTTGTGGCAGTCAGGAGACTGGTTTTTTCATCACGACAATGCTCTTGCTCACACAGCCCTTTCTTTGACCAAAAATGATATGACCACTGTGTCCCATCCACCCTATTCACCCGACCTGTCTCCCTGCGACTTCTTTTTATTCCCCAGAATGAAAAGGAACATGAAAGAAAAGCGTTTCGCAGACATTGATGAAGTTAAAAAAGAAACAATGGAGGCGTTGGCAGGCATCACAAAAGATGAGTTTAAAAAGTGCTTTGAAAATTGGACAAGTGCATTAACTCCAACGGAGAGTACTTTGAAAGAGATTAAATGTTTTTTGAAAAAAAATTAAATAAATAACTTTGTACAAAAATAGTTCGGTTTTTTTTTGGGGTATGCCCTCGTATATGTCAAATTAGTATAATTTATTGGCAGAAAAAATTAATTGATATTACTTGCCTGTGGCACCCAATGGGTGACCTTTAGATATTAAACCACCACTTGGGTTCACAACTACCTGTCCACCATACGTATTTGCACCGGATTCAATAAATTCTCCAGCTTTTCCTTGTTCACAAAGACCCAATGCTTCATAAGTAATTAATTCATTTGCAGAGAAACAATCATGCAGTTCAACTACATCAACATCTTTTGGTTTGATGTCTGTTTTGCTAAACAGCTTATCAGCTGCCAACTTAGTCATATCATATCCAACCTATTCAAGAACATTTATTTACTTTATTATAAACAAACAAAAGTTAATTTTAAAAATAAAAATATTATAAATTCATGATTTACTTACAATTTGCACACAAGTTCTACCTGAAAATGTGCTTGGTGGATCTGTAGCCATTTCCATGCCAATAATTTCAACAGCTTGATCTTGAAGATTATTTTGTACAACAAATCGTTCAGAAGCAAGAATAGCAGCTGCAGATCCATCAGATGTTGGGCAACATTGGAGTTTTGTTAATGGACCAAATACTTTAGGAGACTCCATAATTTCATTCAATGAATATTCTTTTTGAAATTGAGAATAACTAAAAACGAATTAAACCATTAAATGTATTAATATTAATTAATAATTTATAAATAACATATGATAATTAAATATAGTAAGTAAATATATAAATAAAAAATAAAAAAAGGTAAGATAATGGGTGCAACCACTGGTATAGGTGGGAAGTTGGGAAGGTAGGTTATAGACGAGAATTTAATGTATATTTATAAGCAATGATATACCATTGCTTACGAAAAACAATTCTGACCAATTTAGTTGATAGTGATGGTTTGTCAACAATATAAATGTCATTTTATAGTAAAATAATTAAATATTCTTTATACATTTTGTCTTATGTTATACCAATTTTTCCAATTGTTCTACGTTTTTCCTGGTTTTCCTATGTTTTATACCAGTTTTCTAAGAAAACTCTTTGGAAAATCAAAAAATTTCCTTTTTTAAAGTACCTTCATAGTGAAATTTCCTTTCAGAATAATTGCTATCATTAAAAATGGGAGCAAGATCTATGGTAGAAAAGTTGTCCATGAAAAACAACATCTTTGTAAAACCATAAGCTCAGACTCTAAAATAAAAAATAAGTAAATGAATGAATTCTATCACGTTTTACATTTTGACTGTGATAAACCTGATGATGAATTTTTAGTTCTAAACACATGATATGATCTATCACATGATAAAGATGATGAAATAATGGTGTAATAATTCATTTTTGTGGCTTTGTACTGAACCAGAGATTGGATATGTGGGGTTAGTGGTGATATAAAGGAAGTAATTTGGCTGGTGATACTGGTGCCAATCAAAGAGTTAAATACAAAATTTGATAAAAATCTTAAAAACTATGGGGTTTAAAAACATGTTAATTAGTATTAGTTCTCAGTATCAGAATCAAATTTCATCAACACTAATCTATTGTTACAAAGCTGTAATTGGGGAATGGTTTTGAGAGAACACAGAATGTATAACCTAATAAACTAGGCTGCACAAATATAACACTTTATTCTTAGGTTTTTTAGAACACCAGCCTGGGCTGTCCTTACTCGATACCAGGGCAGAGCATATGTGCCCAGTTTAAGTACCTGATTGCCCACAAGTTATAGTGATTTGACTATAGCTAAAATAGTTGTATAAATGAGTAAATTCAACAAAATTGCAAAACATTGCATTTAAAACTTCTAGATTTGAATTTGTACTCATTGAAATGTATTTAAAAATTATTTAGTAATAAGTTGAAAAAAGTTGCAAATGCAACAGCATTCATGCCCTAGTCATAAATATCAGTTTAAAATATTTTTGTTCTCTTATAGGTAATATTTTCTAGTTGCTACAATTTTAAGTGAAGTATCTTTTGTAAAAGAAAATTGTATTGAGTAGGTCATTATTTAATTTTCCTTGGAGTTTTCTTAATAATTGAGAAAAACCTAGAGAAATCAAAAAAATGTAGAGCAATAGCAACAGATTCATCATTTTTTGATTTTGTTTTTTTATTGTAATTTGAGTTTAAAATTATCATAGAAACCTGAAATTTTCAAGGAATATTTATATTCATCTTTTCTAATGGTAGTATAATTTTCAAAACAACCTGAACAATTTTTTCTATCTTTTTATACAGATTTGAACAATTTGTTGAAAATAGATATAAGTTCATCATAAATTTATTATTCTAATAGCACTTCAAAAATATCAAAAATTCGATCATCACTATTTTTCTAAAATAATTTTTTCAAATGTAACCATGTTACATTATTGGATACAAAGTTAAAAAGATAAAATAATACATAATTTAAATAAAAAAACAAGTATGATTGAATAATACTCACGGATTATTCACTGAATGTTTATGGTTCTTGTAAGCAATTTTAGCAAGAGTTTCAGGTTTCACATTATTTTTCTTCATGTATTCTAAAGCTGCATTTCCAAAAAGTTGAGCAGTAAATGGTGATGCATCCAAACCAACTAAATCACCCATTAAAGTCACATGTTTATCCATTGGATTTGTTCGATCAAAAAACTTAAATCAATATAACATTTAATTATTACTTGTATATATCTAAAGTAAATATGTATAATATTTTACTTTGGAAGACAATGACCCAGATTCCATTTTTTCGAAACCAAATACTAATACACAATCAGCATTTTGAGATTCAATTATTTGTTTACCCAAATATAAGGCTGAAGATCCAGTTGAACAATTGTTATTTACATTATAAACAGGTATTCCAGTCATACCAATTTCATATAAAGCCCTCTGTCCACAGGTAGAGTCACCTGTAGAGTTAAAATATTGTTATAAAAATATTATTATTTCTATTAATTAAATCTATAATTACCATAGACATATCCCACACATGCTTGATCCACTTTTTGTAAATTGATTTTTGCATCTTGTAAAGCTTTGGTTACAGATTCGACTGCCATTTGAGGATAATCAAAATTTTCTCTGCGTCCAGGTTTTTCAAACTAAAATATTTAAAAGAACACAATGTATAAATATAGTATATATTACATTATTAAAAATGCTCTCAAATAGTATACACCAGACTCATTTTGGAAAAAAAAAATAATAAAAAAATGTCCATCCTTATATATATAATAGATGGATGATATATACACACACTAATGTTATGAGTAAAGACCGTATTCCCATGCAACTGCATTTTTGTATGGCATGTTCTAAATTCTATAGAAACAAGCTACAAATCAAAATAAAGAGATGTAGATTAATTTATAAAAATGTACTAAATAGTACTTTTGTACAAATATTTTTGTTGTATAATCTATATTATATTATCATCTATCTACTCTATCATTGCTATATTATGTTGTTATATGAAGTATTGGACTTTTATATTTAATAATATATTTATATATATATATATCAATATAAGATATTAATATACTGACTACTATGATGGTTGATAAATTATTTATTACATATACACATACAGTATCACAGTTTATCCACAACAGTCATAGTCAAGTCATGTTTTATACAACAATTTTATAGTTGATACTTATTACTTGATATTATTTAATTTAAAAATTGGTAGTAGTCATTGTCCTAAAATAAAGTGTTGGATTAAAAAATATCAAGAATTGAAAACAGAAGGCAAAATTACATTTTGCAATAAGGCTATTGGTTGTGAATGTAAATCACAAGTTGAGGCACATTGAAATTCAAGTACGTACCTACAGTAACACTAATATTTTACTGTAATCAATAATTATTAACAATTATTTTTATTGTTTTTGTTGTTATTAGCTGTACATCAACAAATGTCTGATACTAAAAAGAATAAGCCTAATTTTATACCATTGTTAATACCAGAAACCACCTCAGCCATAGCTAGTCTAAACAACAAATTTTTAACAGACATGCGTTATGCCTTACTAGCCACAAATATTCCTTTCAATAAACTTCAGTTAACACCATTTAATAATTTTTTACAAAAAAATGTTAATCAGAATATTCCAGATGACAGTATATTACACAAAAATGACTTAAAAATATGTTTTGAATCTACTCAATTTCATTTACATTATGGTACAGATTTTAGAGGGCTGTATGTAGCTTAATTGTTGGGATAGTACCTTAGAAATTATGCATAATTAATTTCTGGTTTCTTGCAAAGAATTGAAAAAAACTAACTATAGAAGAGTTTCTCATTTTGTGAATTATCATTAAAATGGAATTTTTTGGAAACATGTTATTTCAAGACAAATTCTGCTGTTTATCAGTAATGCCTCGACATATATGATAAAAAACTGGAGGAGCATTAAAAATATTTAATTCTAATATGATTCATATAACTTGTGTTGCTCATGGCTTAGAATGTGTGGCCGAAAAAGTTAGAGACATTTTCTCAGGCACAAATAAATAAACTAGTAAATAATGTGAAAAAAATGATTTTAAAAGCTCATCACCATATAACTGCTTATCACAATTTTTTGGACTGTCACCTTCCTCCAGAACCTATAATAATGAAGTGGGAAACATGGTTAGAAGCTGCTTTGTTTTATTCTGAAAATTTCAGTAAATTTAAAGAATTGATAACTAATATAGAAGATGACAACCAATATTTCAAAAAAGTAAAATCTACTTTGAGTACTACATCTATTATAGATGATTTATCATTTATTCAATCACATTTGTCCCAGTTGACAAATTCAATTACAAAACTTGAAAAACAAAATTTTACTTTAAATTATCAAATAGATATAGTTGAAACAGTAAGAAATGGATTTAAAACAATTGAGAATGAAAAGGGACAAATACTCTATGAAAAATTCAAATAAGTATTTGATAAAAATCCCAGATACAATATTTTAAAACTATACATAAATGAAATAAATAAATGGAAATGACGTATAATTAAAAGAAGGTCCTGCTATAATAAGCTGTTACAAACAATGCTCGATAACACAGTAAAAACACATATTAAGTGAGAGAAGACATAATTTTACAAAAAAAAATTTGGAAATGTATGATTATAAATTTTAATCAAATATTGTAAAGTATGTTGTATACATATTGTCAGTTTATTATTATTTTATGTACATTAAATTAAATTTTTTTGTAAATTTTATATTTTAATATAATAGGTACTTAATTATTAATGCCACCAACTAATAAACAATATCATAAAAAATAAAATTAGAAGTACCTATAAAGGAAATTTTGTTTTTGCACATTTTAATTGCATGTTTTTTAGGTATTATCTGCATAAAAATTTTGATATTTTTACATTAAGTACTGCCACACTAAGATTATTTTTAAAAATGTTGTCATTATTTTGTTCTATGTCTCGCTATAAATGAACTATGACTAACTTTAACAACTTTAGGGCAATACATAAACATTATACAATTTTAAAATTCTTTGCTAACTCTAATACTTCTTTAATAAAGCATCAATTAGTAAATAAAATAAATAAATATTTTTCACCCTAATACATATAGGTATATTTTAATATTATGAAATCTGTAGGTATTCCATTTAATTTATACAAAAAAAAAAAATGTGAGTTTTTAAATAAAACAAGGTATGGTAACAACCTTAGTGTAAGGCAACACCAGTGAATGTCATAAATAATAATTTTTATAAATTTAAAAATACCTAAAAATGTATGACAAAATTTCAAAGTTTTAAATCTAAATTGTCTAAAATCAAAATGTGCTGAAGAAATAGCTCTTTTTTAAAAAGAAATTTATTAAATATTAATAATTTTTTTTCAGTTATATATTTAGACCATTAATTTTGCATTCTAAAAAGGGCGAGAGTTTATCAATTTTATTATGATCATAATGAAATATGGTGCAATCTAAAAATTATACATGACAAATCACAACATAGTCGGAGCTAAGGGTCGGTTGAACAGCCTATATTTAAGCTATCTTAGCTGCTTGGATGTCAGATAAAAAAAGTAATGATTGGCCAACCACTTTCTAGTTTATCGAATTTTATAAAATTAGAATCGAAAGAAGATATTTAAAAATAAAACATTAAAGAATATGTACAATGGCAATGGAGGGGAAAATATTATTATAACAATAGGTAAAAATGAATAATAAAATAATTTATTAATTAATAAATTTTGATAATAATAATTATTATTATTATTGAAATTTTATAATTTAATAATTTAGAATTTAGTAAGAAATTGGAAGTCAGTAATATCTTAGATTAAAACAAAGATCAAATTAATAATCATAGACAAAGAGCTATAACTAATCTTCAAAATTAGGCACAAACAATAATGAACAATTCTAGTGACAGAACTTTAATTAGGAACTATTATTAGACCTGCTATACCTAATGTGGATAGAGCTTGTGGCTCGCCTCTTAATCTTTTGGCTGTCCTTGTTGCGTATGAAGCTGATATGTATAAATTACATAAATATAGTCAAAATTAATTATTAAAATAAATTAAAATTACCACATAGGTACAGAATATAGAATGCTAAAACATAAGTACACTAGATCACAATTGATTTTGTGTCCTGAAAATATATTAAATTTTGAAAAGATAATCGCGACTGGCATTAAAAATAAAATTACCATTTGTGAGGCAGCTGGCTATGGAATCGTGGGATTACAAAGATGTATTTGTAAGACAAAGCCAAAAGTTAAAGATTTGTTGTAAAAAAAAGTAATATTTTATGCAACTCAAAATTCCATAACACAATTGTGAAAATAAATAATTTAATTTAATTTATTTATGTAATACTATGTAGCGTTATTTTAAATTTCTAACCCAATTTAAATATTTCGCTGAATAAAATTTCCTATTTATAGATGTTAACAAAATATTTGAATTTTACAACATAGCCTATAAATTAATAATATTGTCTGTTAATACATACGTATTGACAATACCGTCTACTAATGTTAAGCATTCATGATATTGGTTAGACATTTACATTATTATTTAATTTAGATCTTTGATAACGATAACATATACATCAAAATAAAGGAAAGAACTCGTGTATAGTATTTATAAAATAAATATTATACACATCATAAACACTGTTGCCCATTTCAGGTGATCAGTATGAGCAGTTATTTGTTAATTAGATTAAAGTATTAACCAAGAGGATTTCCTATAGTTTTTTTTTTTTTTTTTTATTTATTTAACTAACAATATATATTTACAATCTGTATTTACACGTAATACAATAAGTGAATGTGATGTGGAGATGATTGGCATAAGGCTGTTCAAATTATAGCAAAATAATTACAAAGAAAAAATTGCTTGTAACATTTTTTTTTTTTTTTTAATTTTATTTAGGTACTTAGGTATTTTAAATGATCTCAAAGAGGAAATTGAACAAATAATAATACTTAACTTTAATTACCTAATAAAATGTTTATTTTGATTGTTTGATTTTAATAAACATTGGTCATAAAAAAGTTCTAAATATAAAATATAATTATTAATACATTTTCAAGGCAACTATTTGTATAATCTCAATGGAAACACTGAAAAGTTTGATTTAATTTTTATAGAATTTATTATGGACATTTTAATAAAATACATTTTTGTGATATTTACTAGAGTTTTACATGTCAATTATTGAAATATTGTGTCATAAACTGCGCTTGGGTATTGAAAAAAAAAATATCAAAACCTTTATGGTTATAAAATCAAAAAATTTAAACTGTTTCAGCTCATAATTGAAGTAAATACTTCCATAAGTTTTACACTGGTTTGTTATATTCCAATAATTAGACTATTATACACTGGATTCGTTATCTTAACAAAGAAAGAAAAAATTGAAATTGAAATTTATCAACAGCCGACAAATAAGAAAATAATTATAATAGTATTAGTACCTAACATCATAATAAACGACACAAATGGTATTAACCAACATTTAAACGACACATATTCGGGCGAATACAAGTTTAGGTAAAATTAAATAGACGGATATTGTATACCTTGGTCATGCCAACTCCGATGATGTACACTTTGGGTTTGGACATTTTTCTGAATTTGGTGTCAAAAAACAATCCGAACTGCAGAGAAAGTTCGAGTAAGTAGACGATTCGAACGAGAACAACGACCACGAATATGCGACGGCGACAATTTGTCCGTAATCAATATTAATTCTGTACTGAGTACACTGTCGACGGACGCCTTATTAGCAGGCTGCACTCAGCAGTATTATGTTGTTATCACTTACGCAAACCGATCGTGATTATCGTCATCGTCATCAGACGTCTTGTTGACTCGCGTTTCCCATTTCCAATCTTTAAATATTACAAGTTGTGACAGTCGACAACAATAGCGATATCGATTAAAATTATATATTCCTATATAACTGTATTAATGTATTATTGTTATTTAATATTTATTAATAATGATGTTGCCAATTATTATATGAATGATTCTAGGTCAAAGCGTCCACACCAGTTGATACTGTTATCTAAGTGATAATAGGCAAGTAGATCAATTAATAGTCTTATATAGGACGTATAACGGTAGTAGGAGATACCTGCTACCTACTACTTATCCGGTAAAACAATCACATTTCAACATAATAAAGTGCTTCTCGTTTTATTGAATTACCTACCTACCTATTTAATATTATAACGAATCTATTAAATAATATTTAAAATTGTTTTATATTAACGTCCAAAATAGCTACAATTTCCCTTATTTTATTAATATTGTAAATAATAAATTATTATAAATAAGTAGGTACCTAGGTACTTATACAAATTATAAATTCTTAATAAATTATTATTTACAAACGTTTTTTAATTTTTATTTATAAAACTTATATTTTAGGTAGGTAATACTTTATTTATAAATTAATAATTATTATTTATTAAGTGTGAGTGTAATCACAACTTACTTATTATTATTATACTATACGAGTATCATCCATGCGTAACAAATTGTTAGGTATTATAAGCACGCGCGTAGAATGAGGGGATATGAGGACTAATAAGGCGGTTGCAGTTCCCCCGAAAAGAACACAAATACCTCTATTTCATAATATTATTTTCAATTAAAATAACTCCATTTATCCTATCTTCCCAATTTCTCACTTAAAACAGAAGGATATCCGTTCTTTGTACTTATCGGCTCTTTGAGATTCTGAGTACAGCGAAGAATGTACTGATTTTACAAAAATGTTTTTTTTTTTTATACTGTGTGCAAAAATTCTATTAGAATTCTTGCTCCGATATGTACGCGCGTATTGTCCTGTTGATACTTTTACTGGTCATTTGTTTTGATTTTTCAAGCGGTTTTCATAATATCTGGGAAAAACTAGAATAAAACGTAAGAACGGGAAATTTACGAAAATAATGTTTTTATAATTATTTAAATTTTGTTATACAAATAACTGACTTATAACAATATAAGTCAGTTAAAAATATTCGTATAGACTTGAAATTTGAGCAGAAAACTTATATTTGCCTTTTATAGACATGGTAAAATTTTTAAAACATTTAAGCCATTTTTGAGGTATTTAGAGACATTTAAATTTTACGAGTTTTATACGTAATTTTTATTTGGTAGGTACTGTATAGCAAAATTATTGGTATTTTTTATAAAGGAATATTATTTTTACATTTTAGCGAAAATTGTTTGAGTAAAAAAACTATGTGGAACAAATCTAATTTTTCTAGTTTTTGTTTTGAATATATGTATATTGACGATTTAAGAACGATGGTGAAGTCAGAATTAAGCGGACTGACAAAGTTTCGAAATTATAGCTTTATACATTTCTGATATTATATGTTATGCTAACTATTAACTCTATATTATCTTTTTTACTGTATGTTTGTCGTATTCTAATGGTTATGGATACCTATAATTATCCTAGAGGTCATAATGAAACATAGAAACAAAAAAACATTTTTTGCATTTTTTTCCCTCTTTTACCTAAACAGGGAAAAACAAATGCATTTTAGGTGTACCAAAGATTCAGATATCACTCACTCGAAATATTTTAATCGAAAAATACCACTCGATTTGTTGTGCAAACTTTTCTACCAGAAATCTTGCTCTGATTTTTATGTGCAACAATTTTTCTGCAGGAAATCGGACTGGGGAAGTACTTATACAGATACAAATTAATTTTCCCTCTATATCCTATATTCCCAATTTAAGTCAACAACAGTTGTTGTACCCATTTTATGAAGTATTTCTGTTTTTTTTTTATTTTTATTTTAGCTTTATTGTTACATAATTCAAATACATAGTGTATTGCAAACAGTTTACGTTTTTATACCACCTTAAAGTTTTATACTGTTATAATATTAGGTATCACCAACCTTTTATTCAACTTGCAATAATATAAACGATAGTTGTAACTATATTCAATAATTATTCACGCTGTTTTTGAAATATTTTATTTTGGTAGGTGCAAATAATAGGTACCTACCATAATAATATGTCCTTGGTGTCTGCTATATTTGAAACACTAAATTAGGAAAACAAATCATAATTTTAAATTATAATAATTTATACGCTAACAAACTGAGAATAAATAACAATAGACAGGTTGTTATAAGAGCAATATAGTACCTATAATATAATTAGAGTACGGATTTTAAAGCAATAAAAAACTAAAGAAAAGCAATACAGCTGTATAAATCTTCCAAAAAAGCTTCAAAAATAGTGCATATTTTTGTATTTATTGTCGTTTCAAGATAAATTAATCTACTATACACCATATGGTACGTGAATCACATTATCTAAATTACATCGATAAATATATCCATATATCAAACATAACGAAATAAAATCGATTGAGCCGACCAGGACCTTGGAACACATTATATAATATAAAAATAAATATTAGCATTTCAAATACGTTTATTTAGAACATATTTTTAAAAAATGTAACTTAAAAACAAAAAAAAAGTACCTAAAATACCCAAAAAAGCAATAATATACAAAAAACTTAAAAAAGGCAAAATAAAATGTCGTTCATTTTATTCTAAGTAGTATAAATCGAATTTGTAGCTGTTTAGTTAGTTTTGGTTTAGAGCAATTAAAAGCAATTGCCTTCAAAATCCGTACTCTAATAATAATATATAATTTGAACATAATATGATATAACATATAATTACTACATATAAATTACGTATACTCGTACATTATATTACATTATTATTTTTATTAACTTATTTATACGTATTATAGGTACCTTTTATTAAATATGATTAGCTAGGTATTTAATAATATGATACTTACGTATACCTATTATACATTTTATCGAAATACATATCTAAATTCACATTATTATATTTTTAAACTTATTCGGCGTGTTGATTCAAATTTAACATTATACCCGTATACCAAAATATCTATAATATCAAGGTATACGATGTCTAAAAATCAAAATGTAATGGAATGCTTTTAGGAATTATGGGAATAAAAAAATAGGATAGATACGAATAAGAAAATTCTTATAAACTCTTACACAATAAGTAACAATAAGAATTGTTGTCATTTATACACATAAGTAGGGAACGGATTTGTGCATATGATGCACAAACAATTCTTAAGATATGTATGCTTTTTAAATACCTACTATAATACGCAACTAAATTTGGATATAATTAAAAATATTTATTTTATTAATTATAATACATTATTTAATAATTTAAAAAAAGACATTATATAGGCTATTTGGTTATATTTAACAATAACATTCAAATCTTTAATAAACATATTCTCAAACTACAAAATATTAAACCACATTAAAAAAAAAAGACGTTCTAGGATAACGAAGACGAGTGCAGCCACTGTTATAGATAATTTAATGTATATCTGTAAGCAACGATAAACCATTGTTAGCGAAAAAACGATTCTGAGCGCAGTTCAGTTGATAATGATGCTTTGTCAACAATATGTATGTCATATTGTGGTAAAATAATTAAATAGGCATTATATATTTTGTTTAATAATATTTGTTTAATATTGTATCTATTTTCCCGCTTTTCCTGCGTTATTCCCGGTTTGCCCATAATTTTTCTCGGATTATCACATTTGCTAAAAAAAATCTTGGCAAAATCGAAAAATAACCTTCTTAAAATACCTTCCCAGTCAAATTTACTTTCATAAAAAGTGTTATCATTGTAAACCGGAGCAAAATTATTGGTAGAAAAGTTATACACAGAAACATAGGCCATAATATTTTTTTACTAATACCTACATTTCGTACATATCCCGTTTTTCTTACGTTTTATCCTGGTTTTTCCCAGATATTATGAAAACCACTTAGAAAATCAAAAAATGACTTCTCAAAAGTACCATCTGAACAACATTCCTTTTCAGAAATGGTGTCATGCGTGTAAATCTGAGCTAGATTTATGATCGAATTTTTGTATACTAGATAAAAAAAAAATAAACATCTTAGTTAAACCAATACATTCTTCGCTACACTCAGAATCTAAAAAATGATTTTATTTTTCTTTGAATTCATATTTATCTTATTACACTGGTGGATAACTTTCACAATAGTCACTTGACAAAATGTAAAAATATATAATAAACAAAAAAAATATGCACTATAACATTACAAATATGCATTAAATATACAAATCAAGTAAGATACAATGTGTTATTTTAATAAGAATAATCTAAATTGGAGACATTCCTTACCAGATTTCAAATAACTTATTGTTTATTCTAATAAGTATATGCATTTATTTATAAATTCGTATCCTAGAAATAAGAATACCTAGTACCTACCTAAAGACTCTCAGAGAAATATAAATCTTGATGTGGGAGGGGGTCAATGTAAAAATTATATCTATTATTAATGTAAAATAAAAACCAATTTTATCTAAATTATCGTAATTCCAGTCATGACCGAGGGATCATAGCTTACTTAAATAGTATACTTAATACATTTTCATATCTACTTATTACATTTCGGCGATTGATTTTGTATTAGTGTTTAAAATTAGTAAAATAAATTATCACCGTTCGACACACGAATAACATAATATTATGCATAATATATTATAAGTAGTCAGGTTTTGTATTTATAATTTTGTGGGTCGTCCACGAATTTATTAATATGCAAAGGTACTTACTTACATAATCAACTACTTTAACTACCTACTACATTTGTTTATTTTGTTCGCATAAACTCATAATAAGCCTCGTGTAAAATATAAACGAATTTCTGATAGGCCAAAACAAATTTATCCATATATTATAACCAAATAAAATATAAAAAATCTCGAAAATGTCAAATACCTATTACAAGTAAATAGTACACGAATCGCCAGTGTTTTGAACATTTTACCATGTCAAGTAAAGGCCATATAAGTATTCTGCGATCATTTTAACCGAATTATACCGAAAAGAAAAAAACAAAAATGTTGAAACCGTTATTTCCGTAAACGTTCCGGTATTTCTTCAGTTTATTTCCAAGTT